TAACACCATATCCAAGTTAAAAACGAAATAGTAAAAATAAACAAAGCTTTTAGAAAACACATGTATTTGACTCCTACCATTCTAACCGCATGAAAACACATGTTGATAAACATGTTATTAAAACTGGGTTTATTGTAGTGAGAAATGTTCCATGACTTATTCATTGTCGCCTGCCTCCTCCAATCATGATTGATTGGAAACACTTCATGTGAGGAGAAAAAAACAGACGTATGATCCATATTCACGTAGAACAAGTGTACACATAGATGTAGTATCCATTTTTGACTGTATTGATATCCATAATTACTAATTATGTCAATTGTTGTACATTATGGGGATTTTAGCATATTGATCATACAATGTGCAGAGGGCAAAATTATCATTCGTCTGGCAACGCTGGGATTGAGTGACTTCACCATGGTTTAAAAGAAGGCATACATATGTTTACCTTATACATATTGTATATTGTGTATATATGTCTTGTGTTAGTTTAATAAATTCTGATGAGTTGAATATACAATGTGTTAAGTGTGAAACTCTCCATGCAGCGTGCACGACTATCATCATTAAATCTTTCCAATCCTGAAAATATCAATACCCAAACTAAAAACAACACTGTTGAGATGAGTGGTGACTATTTGTACAACTAGTCTCCGACTGCTTGTTCCATTGTGTGTAACCACATCAGATTTTACAGTGGATGATGGATTACATTATGGAAACAGAGGGAGGGGCGTTTGCTCATATGGCAGACAATGGAGGCCGCTGATCTTCCAGCATGAGGGGAAATAAAGCTTTCAGAGTTTCTGGCACTGGCAGGGGGAAGAACGTGGTGGAAAAATAATTTCCAACATATTTAAGGATCAAACAGATGGACACAGAGGGATGGCAGGGTGTGGCGGGCGGAGGGGAGGTGAGCAGAAACATCCTCTTTCTGATCAGAAGAAACAGCGATCATGGAAAAGAGGATTTAACTTAAAGAAAGATATTTCTTTTAAATCTATAATGATTAGGTACCAGCAATCATTTTGCAAAAGTTTTTCAGATTAAAAATTGTATAGCTGTATAGCTGTATAGTCCACCAGCACCCTGACTCACTTCAGCTCTGCAGCATCACACAGACCATGTGGATTCAAATGAGCTTCTCCTGTGTTTTCGCTGATTGTTGTAAATAATGGGTCAAACACAGCACGCACTGCTAGGCAACTGGAAAATAACTTGTCAAGACCCATGTGAAACAAGAGGACTAAATGCCCCGAGGGCGAAATTTCAATCAATGTCTCCTTGTCCTTTCACCACAGCAAATTAGATTCTGCCCATCCATGAGAGTCAAGTGTGACCCTGAACTGACGAGAGGATCAGGCAGGGAGCTTTGACAGGTAGGAGCAGCGTCCATGAAAAGCCAGCAGGAGCTACAGTCCGGAGCCGGAGGCTGGGACTCTCTGCTGAGGCAGCAGTAAGTGAATTGGGCGATGTCCCTTCGTTAGACTTGATATTTCATATAGCCAAGAGTTCAGTTTAGTCAAAAACCAAATGGAGTGATGCATTTTTGCCAATGTTTTGCTGATGCATGAGTTGGCAACGGGAGGAACAATAATCGAAAAGTCAAAACGTGAAACATTGTGAGGTTTAAACTGCTGCATCACTGCTCTGATCTTAAACTTGGCAGCATGATGCTGATGATCATTTGCATTTGTAGCAAACAACATGTTCACTCTTATTTCCCTGTTTAAAAAAACCCCTAAAAACTAAATTTTTCTTGGCAGATGTCTTGGTAAAATCATGGGGGGTGGGTTAGGATTTAATGATTGGAGCACAGCTAAGGCCAGGTGGTTGTGGTTTTGAATCACATGCTGTGATGTGTGTTTTTGCCAAATTCTTAAGTGATTATCCATGAAAAAAACACAAAATAATTCCTTTCCCTCTGAGACATGAACAGAGAAATCAAGTTTCTTTTTCCTAGAAACAACTTTGATAAGTGCTTCTCTTCCTGAGATCCAAAGAAACCGTTGAAATAAAAGGAAATCCCAGCTGTTCACACAATTTGATATAAAGGATACACTCTCCAACAAATAACTTGTATCAAGATGTTTTCCAATTAATATTAAAAGAGACGTAGTGACAACACGAGTGAAAAATTGACAAGATTTATGGTGCAGCCATATAGGCAACACAAGACAGAGCCTTTGCTGAATCATATAATGTAATAAGGAGCTAAATCAAACAGCAGCATGTTTCAAATGAGATTTATTGGTCTGGTCCTTCTCAAAAGCAAAGGATACTGATGAAAATCATCGTGATAATGCAACGAGAAGGAGAAGCAGCTGAAAGAGGCTGCGAACGGCTTCCTGTGGGACGGAGGAGAGTCATCACTGAGTGAGGATCACCTCTTGGTTAAGGTTTCAAAGGTCAGAGGGCGAGGCAGGGTCAAAGATACAGTAGCAAGGTCACGGCAGAAGATAAACCGATCAATGCTCTTATGTGAAAACATCTGCGGCTCTTTATGTGGAAGTGATGGATTACACAGAAGTGTCTGTCAAGACGTGGTTCATTTCCATAAAGGCTTTTACCAGGTTTAGAGACAGAAGCTGCTGTTCAGTGCTTGTTCTGTGGGCCCACATCAAGCTACTTAAATCATTAACAAGGTTGCATTTAAATAAATCAAATGAACCAAAGGTCATTTCAGCAAATCCCCAAAGGTCATTTCAGCAAATCCCATTCTCCAAAGGCACATCAGTCCATCTTCTTCACAAAGCCATAAATAGGACTTATAATAATAAGACATGACAAGACTTCAGGGCCTTGGATCTTCTCCTTTTCATTTTCCTTTGCACAACTTATAACGAAAAGGACCAGTTACGTTGTGTACATACTTTGATGGTGTATACTGTTATGGTGTTGGTCATTAGTGTTTCAAATTTAGTGCATATTCTCCTACTTTCCTTTCACAGGTTATTGTACTGCACAGTGGGGGCCATGTCCCTTGCTGTGTGTTTATGTCTGTAAGAATACAGAGAGCAGTGTGAAACTGAAGTCAAAGTCCTTATATGTGTACTTGGCCATTAAAGCCGATTGTGATTTTGCATGACAACAAGAAAAAAATTCTACATCATACCATAAGTCCCAGCTTCCAGTTCACTCCAATTAAAGTCCTGAACTGCTTTACCTTTTCTTCTTCGCTCTTCTCTTAAGTGCAGGGCGACGTCTCGGCCACTTTTAAAAAATGCTGATTAGTCTTATGGCGAGAGCCGATTGCCAGTTTCCTTAGTTTGATTACCTCAGCAAGAAAAACTCAAGTCATCAGTAACCTGTGAGCTGCAACAGTGCTGGGGTGAATCACACCATACACTCACAACTTTAGTTTTCTACGGCCTTAACAACTAATGAAACTGTTCATTAAGTTAAATTACTTGTATTATGATGAAGACTCACATTTGCGACACAAAAGCATCTTTGAAGTAATTTGGCTTCTGATCTTTTCAAAAACTGGAGAGTAGGATATGATTCTACTGTAACTGATGTCAACAATCTGAACATCCTCCAAAAGTGAGGCAAAAATCGTTGTCCACAAACAAATACAACACAAATCAATCTGATGTGTCATTTTGAGGCCAGTTAACGTTCATCCTGCAATCTGAACAGTGTGTGCACTTGTATAACAGGCGATATTTTCCTAAAGAAAACAAACAGCACAGTGTTTGCCCAGAGATAGGAGCAGCTGCTGCACACCTGCCTGTGGCTCGCTTCTTCTTCACCTCTCTGAACAAGTCCAGGTCCTTTTGTTCCAACAAACAGGCAGGTGATGGGCTCGGCGCTCAACGCAGGGTGTAGATTTCAGCACCCATTTAATTACCATGTCGTCCTTGACACATGAAATGGAACTAGACCAACTGTCTTCCTCTATAAATATCAGGATAAAAAGCTGTGTTGGTTGTGTGAGAGGAGCATCACGCAGTCTCTGATGTAAACCTACATCTCTCAGTCTCTTTGTGCTCAGGACGCCACTGTCTGTCACAATGAAAAATACTCAGAGAACATTACGCGCCTAACTGTGGCACCCTCCAAATTTTCATTAATCATTTTAACAACTCTGCAGGAAACTGCTCCCTTGGGCGATTACGTTTAAGCCTGTAGTTTACTGGTATGAGCCCACTTCTACACATGAATACTGAGCTTTTTTTCAACATCTCAATTCCACTAAAAGACTGTGATGATTACTTTTAAAGTCCACATCCCTGATATTAACCTCTGCTGAGACTGGGTTCAAGTCCAAAAACAAATTCAGGAATTCCACACAATGGCCTATATTTGTCCAAGCATCACATTTGACGGACTGGCTGCACGCTCCTGAGCCATGAGAGACACTTTAAATATAGACTGCATGGGAGCACAGTGTTGGTACAGTTGGGCTGTGGGATTGTGAATGGGATTATAATATTATGATATATGGCTGTATTCATTTGACTGTCTCAGTGTGCCATGCCACGCATAACAGCCAGCAGCACAATGCAAGTATTACTTTCTGCAGCGGGAAACACAGTGCTGGCATTGTGCTCATGCCATCCAAGACACTTCACTGGAAAAACACTCTAGAAGTCCAACATTTTACACATGAGCAGGTGTATTATCAGCTGTTTTCAGCAGCTCATAATCTCTCCTCTCTGTTTTTCTATGTATGTTTCAGTCAGTTTAGCAGAGCATCACAAATCTTAACTGCATCCCAAACCAAACATTTTATGGTGATAGTTTTTCTGACTGAGAGGAAGACAAGAGATGAAGAAGATGCTCAAAGGAAAAAAAAGAGAGATGAAGCTGACGGATAAAGAATTTTCCTTTTTGGAAAAATTATAAATTTTAACTTTGCTTTATTTGCAGGAATATCTGTTTCAAGAAATCTACGATGCATTTGCACAACATGCGTGTGTTGAAAATTGCTCCAACTTCATCTCCTGCTCCTCCAGCCAGAGTCTCATTATAAAACTGAAGATGAGGAGTCTTACCTTCCAGCAGCAGCAGCAGCAGCAGCAGCACAGCGATGTTTCCACGAGAGAAACCACAACTTAGCCCCATTTTCACGAACCATAAGTAAAAGTTGCCGAGTCAAAAACAAGTTCCTTCGATAGAAAAAAAAAAACAAATAAAGGCGCGGTATAAGCCACAGTGTGTGTCCCACAGTGTGCGCGGCTCCGGTGCAGACGGATGAAGTCAGTGTGCCATGGACGCGCTGCTGTGCGCGCCGCGGCTCCAGTGGCTGCTGCTGCTGACCAGAGGAGGAGGAGGAGGAGGAGGAGGCAGCAGACATTTACAGGAAATTTAAGAGCATAACTTAACAGCAGGTCAGTCATCTCATTAACTCTCTGCAGGGTGGAAATTATTAACTCTTATCACTAAATGGCGCGTTTTAAAGGCACAGGCACGGTTTTTTAAAGGACTTCAGCCTTGATCAATTATCCACTTTATTATAACTTTTAGTTTTAGTTTGAAATAATCAATAATTCATTTATTTACTTTGGTGAATGTCAAATTTCAAAACCAAAAATGACGTGTGAGGATTTCATGAATCTTCAAAACACAAATAGAACAAAGCAACAACAAGGACAGAGCAAAGAGAGAAATAACAAAAGACAAAAGTCACAACATGAATACTAGATACAACTAAAAGAAAGAAGGGAAGATCAATCTATGAATAAATAATGTAATGATAATTTTTAGATCTAACTGTTTGACCTGAATGCTCTCAGTGAGCTCAGTTCAAGGGGCCTGGATCAGCATTAAGCTCTAGGAATGATTTCTTGGGTGTAATACTGGGCAATTTTTATGATCTGTGAGTTGGGTAAACCAGTGAACTGTTTGATCAGATACACAGAGTTTGTAAATTTAGGGAACAGAGATCAATGTCCACCATGCAGCAGGTTGCAGGATGTGTGATCATGGATCCATGGTGACTTGACCTGAGGACAGCTGTGTTTTCCTAGCTTTGTGTATAAAAGCCAGCTCGTCAGAAGAGACATTTGTCAGATTCTTGAGCCTGCAGTGGCTTTGAGAACTCTGTCCCTATTTGGCCAAATAGTAATACTGTAACTCTGTTTGTGTTCAATATACTCTGTAATTCTGCTTTGATCAGTATTAAATGCTTTGATTACAGTTATTCCATGCAGTTGTTTATTTCCTTGCCAGGGAATTAAATGCAAATTCCCACCACATAAGGATCGAAAGGGAATACAAGAAAATCAGTATTGCAAACATAGGCAATTTGTTGGGAAAAAAAGCTACATGATGGCAGATATATAAAGGTAATTTATCCCAATTTTAAGGAACAAACTTTCTTTGATACAAAGGCGATAAATCATTATCCATGCATTTTCTTTTTCAAATAATCATGAATTTACACCTGAGTATAGTAGCACCAGTGATTTTAATATATTTATGTGATGGACTCAGATTTCAAAACAAACTGTCATGTGAGGACAGGATTTCAGGGATCCAGCAACAACGAATTGAGTTTTTGTCTTAATCCATTTCACTGCTGAACCTATAGAACAGTTCATGGTTTAATCAGACTTGTGAGTTTTGTCTCCCTGCTGACCACTGTGAGACCAGCTCTGTGACTCTGTGGGACCTTTCCTCTCTCAGGTCTGACAGTGTCACGAGGATGACGACTGTTAAAGTGTGGGATCTGTTTGCGACTAGATAGCGTGTGGAGTGATGCATTGCTGCATCCCCGGGGCAGGACACCAGTCACTCACACAGAAATCGCTCCCCAATCAATGTCTCTGCATGGAGCACAAAAACACTGGAGTAGAGGACGACAGGGCTTCTCAGCAGGAAAAAACATATTACCTGCTATTTATATCTGCAGCCCCCTTCTTTGGTTTAATTTGTCTATACTTTTCATCATAGGGCTTAAAATCCTTAGTTTTTACATTCATGATCAATATGTAATGTTGTACTGTAAATAGATTTATCTTTCGACTGTGTTCAGTAAAATGCTGTATATCCATTTCAAATAAAACTGTTGCTTAAAATCCTCCAATAGAAGGTCCAATAGTTGTCACTTGCTTTAAGATATCAAATTGTATTTATGTGTGATGTTAATACATTTGTAATAAATGATCTGATGAGCAGATACTTTGCTCAGATGTTCACTTACTCTATATAGCAGGGTAAATATAATGCTGATTGCTGTATCAGGGGAGAAAGCTGGGATCATTATGAGAATATAAGAAGGTGAGTGGTCAGCATGAGCACATTGTATCTGGGATAAAGTTTCCATATGACAGACTATAGGCATCCTGAGACATATGCTCAGTAGGAATCAATAAAGGCAAGGAAGTGTGGTATGTGGGACCACAGTGGTGTCTTATGGGCTTTTTTCTGACAATGCTATAGAGCGACAAGACGTTTAGAGGCCGGCAGGATGACGTTAGCAGAAATTCAATCTGAAACGTAAGAAGAATATTCATTACCTCCACAGTCTAGACATTCAGATTCTGACCTTTTTGATCTTTAATAGCAGCTGCTTGTGATGTTCTATGCTCATAATGCTTTTGCAGTTACTGTACGTCACTGGGAATGAGTCAGCTAAATGCTAATATTTTAGATTAAAAGCTGCATCATCGCATGCAAATACACAGAAGATATCTTTAGCCCTCGGTGGTGAGTCTGTATCGATTTCATTTTAATCCCATGAAATAGCATTAGTGTGTTTTCATCGCTAGTGCAGGAGTTTAGGAGAGCAGTAATGGATTTGTAGTCTTGTTCAAGATGGAAGGAGGCTCCTATAGTGGCATTCCAACAACAGCGTCTGCTCGTAAGACAGTTACCGAAACCACTACACCGTGTTACGCAATGTTCTTACAGCCTTGGAGGAGCGAGTAATTTGATTTTACTGTGGAGGAGAAGCACGACGCTGTGTCATTTCATTAACTAGATGGTCATTTCATGATGTACACACAACCTGACCTGATGTTGAGAGCACACTGATCTGATCATACACACATTCTACACATATATATAAATAAATCAACAGGACTGTCAAACATGCGGAAAAATATAGTTTGAATCTGAGGATTAACTCTGTTTCAGTTAAGTAGTTAAGTATTGAATGAGTCATGGGTCTCTGATGAATTGGATTTATGTAATTTCCCTGATTTTCTAATACAATGAGTGTGAGAGGTTTCAGTCCCATTAATGACTATGAGTTGTGCATCTTGACCCCCATTAAAGTTCTGTCACCCGGACAGCAGATGGTACATTCCCCCCAACACACACGAACACACAAACGGACACATATGGAGGAGAAGTGGCCATGGCAACAGACTCATAATGGTCGGGCTGGTGTGTAGTGGAATCACTCGGCCTAATTTGTTAAGTACCACCTCAGTATACTTGATTTAATCAGTGTATTCAGTGCACAAAACAAGTGGCATTAAATAAAACCTCAGCTGCCCACCCTGACACTGGATCATCTTCTTTAGAACCAGGGTGTTGATTGAATGGGTTTCATGGATGAACATGTTCTCATGTTCCACTGTGCTACAGCTTGTGTTGGATGAATAGAAAACGGAACCTTTTCTTTGTTGCGTAATTCATCAGTTGACATTAGCATCATTATATCTGAAGAGATGGTTAACTGTTAATATAATGGTGTCCCTCCCAGTAGGACAGGGACAGATAATCACTCTGTTTATATTTTCAGGAAGAAATTCTTCCTGTAGAGCAGGTAGGCGATGAGCACCCACAGTGCGGTCCCCCACAGGCTTTGGAAGAGCCACTCCCAGTGGCTCTGCTGGACGTGCATCTCCCAGCTGAACGGGAAGTAGAAACCCAGGAGAGAGTGGCCGACATACACAAAGATGGAGTTCATCCCTGAGGAGGGGAGGAGAAGAAATAAATGCAAGTTGTTGTTGTTTAACAGGACCTGCATTAACCCTTGGAAGTCTGCAATTATGTTAGTGTGATTAAACAGAGATGTCAAGGAGTCTTGTGATTCATTGTAAGGAGAAAAATATAGATTACAGCTATTTTATGACGTTAGATGCACTTTATTGACTTGAGCTGAAGGTGTGTGATTGTCATCATGTTTCTGTAAACCAGGACGATACATTGAGCTCTGTGATGTGTGAACAAATGTTACCTGGGTATATGAACGGCTGTCCGCCCCACCAGCCCTTGATGTCAGTGACAAAGTACATTGCTGCCAGCAGCAGGAAGGAAAAACAGCCCATACATGTCACATAGGACAACGACCTGGAGAAACAGACCATCAGTGATACTTTACAACAACAAGCCAGTATTTTACATTTGGGCGTCACTAAAATGTTTGTAGCCCGGTGTGAACAAGCGTGTAAAGACACTGAGTCGATCAATCCTGTGCTGCAGATAAATAACATCAGGGCTCTCCAGCCAACCCAGCATACTGCAGGACAGTTTCTTGGATTGGTCTAAAGCATCAGCAGTGGATCCTTGGCACGTGCCCCGTGGAGCCGTGCCAGCCAGCCATGTCCCTGTCTGGTCCTAAGTGCAAGAATGTTTGATGTAATATCATCTAATGTAAAATGGCGGCCTCCCACAGCCTCCTTTCACTGGACTTTTTTTTAATCTCAGCTGAAGTGGGGCCAAAAAGGACTCTTGGCTGCGAGTTAATTACTTCTAGACATCCAGGCAGGGACTCATACTCAAGAGCTCAATAACCTGTGCATGATGAACTGCCTATAAAAGCCAGTCAGGTAATGGCGAGGGATGAGCGCAGTGTTACTAGCGGCCCCTGTGGAAAATCATGAAGAATTTGCTTACACATCACAGATGAAGTGGGATTCTTCCTGCTCAAACATTAAAATGATTCACATCATATTAAGGGGGGGGGGGGTGTGGAAGGAGGAACCACTGCACAGGTCATAAAATAATCTACGTCTGAGGTAATAATTGCTCTGAATTTCATGCCAAATCTTTACGAACATTTATCAAGATGCTGTGCCTTGTTTTTTCATTTATAAGAAAAAAAGGTGTATGACGGTTTGGGAGCAGTTAGACAGCTGTGAGTACATGGAAGCTTTTCCCAGAGCCCATCAGCCAGGGCTGCTGAAATGTGTAGTGAGTGCTTCTGGGGAAGAGAGGATAAAGCATCCTTAAGCCTACTGGCCGTAAGGAAGAGCGATCATGTCGGGAGGATGTATGACCGCTTCAACTCACACTCCCGACAGCCCGGGTGATTATTTACAGTAGTAGCTGTTGTAAGAGGTAAGTAAACGTGTGTTTTAGCAGCCTTGATTTGTGCACTGTTGGAAGCCCATCCTTTCTTTTGAGAAGAAAAGTGGCTGGATTTAGAGGGTCAGGAAGCACTTACCAAAGGTTTTTATTGACAGGTATAAATCCTCCGTCTCGTGTGCACTTAGAAAGGATGGCAGCGGAGATTCCCTGAGGGTGGAAATGAAACAGATTTCAAATCGATGGAGGGCGATAAAGCAAGCTGTATTGGGCAGCTAAAACACGAGGCAACAGAATCAAGCGAGTGTGGCGGATTAACCGATTATCTGAGCGTCAGATGACCACGGCCCATCAAGATACACACAACACCAAGCCCCAAACAATTTCATCATCGACACTGGGATGTTATGCTCCTCAGAGATTCATCAGCATAGAATTAGACCCATTTGGAGCCCAGTTGACCCTGGAGTCATAATCACCACAATATAAATGTATGTGATCTGATGAACTCTACATCAATAAAAGTGTTTATTGTCTCATCTATTTACCTTTATGTATGATTTAGATACTTGAAACATTTTGCACTCGTGAGAGAAACCCGGGGCACTGGATCAGAAACCAACGCTTGTTAGGTGGATATCCATCATGTGTATAGATGACAGAATCGATGGTGTGGAAATAGCCTAGCCGAGCTGGATTAAGTCTCCAGGCTATCCAGGCAGCAGGATGTGGGATGGGGCTGGTATGTGGGGCAATCGCTCAATTCCAATCTCTCACTTCTGGAGCCTGATCGTTGGATTTTAATTAACAGGGGCTGTTGTTTATTAGGGAAGAAGATGCATGGCCGCTCCCTGAATATCAAGCCGCCACAGAACTCAGCAAGCTCTGGTGTAAGACCTTCACTGTGTCAACACTTTCTGGTTACTTCAGTGCAGCCTCTCCTGTGGATAACACCAATGCTGTGGTTGGGTGCATGCAGAAAATGAACTCCCTCCTCCTCTGCTGAGGAGACTCGCTAATGTCAAGAGCACATGTCTGAAACAAGGGGTGGTTCGGCTCTGCTTCCTGCCTCCCCTCCGAGCCCAGAGCGAATTAGAGGAGTCAATATCAAGAACAGGCCAATCATGAAAACTAATTTTTGCTTTCTGTTTTGGTGAAAACACTTTGTTGGACTAAGAATAGACTCAGCTGCTGAGATTAAGAAAGGAAGCAAAAACGAGCAAAACACATGGGACGATTATAAACTGTGTTTATGTTGTACACAGGTCTGGATCTGCTCCCAGAATCAATACAAACAGGCCGCTCTCTCTGTCAACCAGTTCTTTTTTCTATTTTCTTTATTTCAGTCAACCAGGATTTCAAGTCCCTGTATTGATCCATTACTAAACACAGCATGATCCTGGATATATATCCTCTCCAACACTATAATCTCGAGTACAGCATCTGAATCCTGTCTGTAGCACTGACTGTTGAACCATGAGATATTGTGGAAAAAAACATTAGAGCCTAATGTTTATTTATCTAGTCATGTGTTACTTTATCACTCGTTGCCTCTGGGAGAGGCCAAATGGATCTAATTTATTTCACCTCCCTCCAGCGTCTCGCTCCACAATAATAGTCAGCAAGATACAACACCAGCAGAAATAATGGAGGAGATTCGTCATTTAAGAATGGAGGTTAATGACATTAAATTCTCACAGCAGAATTTCAATTGATTCTTATTGAATGAGAAGGATTCACAAACATCATAAACAGCGTTTTTGTGCATTTGCACTTATTATATTGCATTTTGAATCTGCTATGCTTTGTTATTCTACATTTCAACCATCTTTCTATTTCTATTTTTATTTCTTACAGCCCTTGATTTACTCTGCTGAGGGTTCTTTTCTTTTTGGTTGCATTTGAGGATGACAATGTCACTGTGTCAGTCCACCATTTTGGTCAGGACTGAAACATCTCAACAAATATTTGACCACAGGATCAATTCGAATAACTTTACAATCTCTTACTCATACCCTTATTTTGACGTGTCCAATGTTGTTTTACGGCCCAATACCTGATTTATGTAAGCTAAAATTCAATTCAATTCAATTCAATTCAATTCAATTCAATTCAATTCAATTCAATTCAATTCAATTAACCAAACTAAAACAAACTAAGCTAAACTAAACTAAACTAAACTAAACTAAACTAAACTAAACTAAACCAAACCAAACTAAAATAAATTAAATCAAATTAAACTAAACCAAACCAAACTAAACTAAACTAAACTAAACTAAACTAAACTAAACTAAACTAAACTAAACTAAACACCAGTATATTAGCAAATAGCTAACCTGCTGACCTTAATGGTTAGCTCAAAGCATGGCTGCAGAGTGTTGACTTGCTTTCCTCCATGTTAAGCTACTGAGGACCCATTGTTATTGTGAGCCAGTCAATCTCATTCCCATAGTGAATGTGGGTTAAACAAATAAATTTGACTTGACCTGACAAACCCAACTATTTGACGATGTAATGATGAGGCAGCATTTATAAAAATTCAATTGGTTCCTTCGGCGTGTTTTTAAACACTAATGTACTGATGTTTAGTGGTTATGGTCCAATAAATAAATAGATCAATTGTTAGTACTCATACCAGACTGACTCTGATTCTAAAAATGTAAACTCACCAAAAAGCCACAGTCATATACATCGACTACATAACTTAACACTATTGAGATATGTCTGTTTCTGCATGTTTTCCTCTGGCTGTGACCACTGGCCTCTTCTTTTTTTTATCCTGCACCGCTTTGATTTCCAAGGCCGTGTGATGCAGCCAGCTCCTGCAGCTCCATCATCGCTCTAGGTCACAAGGCTGCCAGTTCAGGATGTCTGCCTCCACAGCACGGAGGCTCCTACTAACCCCGTTTTGCAAACAAGTTACATCTCTGCAGCGTGTCACTGTGCATAAAAGCGGTGGACAGGCACAGTTTGGCAAAGTCCGGCATTTCCTCATGGATGACTGTCAATCTCGTTAGAGCGGACTAACAGCCTGTCGCAGGTTTAGAAATGCAAAACGGGCCATCTCAGCTAACACTATGCTGCTCCCTGTGGGACACGATGCCCTTCTATACAAATAAAGGAGCCAGCTTGCTTCTCTTTGTGTTTTTGGACCACCCAGACTGAGCACCAATCTAAATCAAATAGACTTGAAATGCTATCCAAGCAGATTTATTACAAGATTTATCCTTTCATTTTAGTTTTGAATAACTTTAATCTGTTTCTGATACACCGCATTATCAGAACAGTTTAAAGTAAAAGTAAAAGAACTGTAAATGTTTGAGCGCAGGTATATTAATTGATCATGCTTTTTATTAGATGTTGCACTGACTGCTGAAGTCTGTAAGTAATATGCACAACTCCTCTGATCTAAAACCACATGTGAGGTGCAGACGGCAACGAGAGACAGTGCGTATCCCCCCAGGCGCTGGATACCCTTGTCTGCCCGGAAACAGAGCCACACATGGATGTTGTTTAATTGTACTGAGATCACACACATGTCCTCTCCTAAGCCCTGCTAATGAATGGCTTTGGCGGCTATGACTAATACCCGAGTGGCTGGAAAACACATTTCCAAGTTCACCTGCAAGGCGAAGTCTAACAGCAAGCCCCATGTAAGTGCTCAGCTGTGTGTGTGAGTCATAGAAGTAGGACGATGTTTTAAGAGATTTGTTGTCTTGGTTGCAAATTATCAATTTACTTTTACACTCATTTACTGTGTTTAAAACCTCTGTATGCTGTTACATACCAGGATGACGGCCCACACGAGAAATCGACGGAGGATACGGACCTTGTAGAAAATGATGATGTTCCCAGCCTGTGGAGAAGGAAGCAGAGATAAGCAGATAGAACTCAGTCAATCAAGTTAATCAGAAATACCATGTTAAAACCATCAACACAGTGCGTCCGTGTATTTAGCTTTCTGTAACCAAATAGGCCTGGGATGTAGGTGTCAATATTGTGTCCCTGGCCCGGCGGTCATATTTCTCCTATCCAGCTGAGCCAGATGTTTGGTCTGAGTCATCCACGCCCTCTGATTAATTTGGTGATGATAAATACGTTTCAGCCGAGGACATTAGCATGAGCGAACACAGAGGAGGGCGGCGGACACCTGGCGTGTCGTCTAAGACCCGCTGACTGAAGGGCTCAGAGCTAACCACCCACGGGAATTGAGCTATGTGGCTGCTCTCGCTTGGCAACTTCCCACAACACAAATGGTTATAAGTGACAGTGTCGCCATCGCAGACTCAGGTCTAAAGACCAAAAGCTCTCTCCTCGCTTCCTGACATCATTTTGTCAATAGAGGACGGCAGCTGTGCACTTATAATTAGGCGGCAAAGAGTCTTTCACATAACCTTCGTTTAAGTACAGAGAAATTTACTACTCTACTAAGACAAGGTCAGTAAAGAACATCACTAATCCGCATGATAAATAAGCTGTTCTAGAAATGTTTCCTTTTAATTTACAAATATGTATTAAATGATGGAGTCATTAAAAGAAATTAACTTTAACATCACATCCGAACATGCTGCTGGAGTATTATCACCTAAACAGCTGACTGAATCTTACATTTGATGTGAAAACCTTCACGGAACAAGTGTGGTTTCATTTGAATTAAGGGTGCTCTCAGCCAATCAGGTGCCAGTATTCTAAAGGGGCAGTCCACCCAAATCATTTCCCAGAAACTATATTACTTGCTGGCAGCAGTTGTTATTGGAATTTCTTTTGTTTTAACAGTTAGTTCCTGTAAAGACGTCTGTGGTTTATCGACAAAGTCGTTCACAAATTTATATTGAGGTAGTGCCAGAAATTTCAGAGACATGTATCAAATGTGGACAAATGCTATCAAAACTATCTGCACGCCAATAGAGAAGAATGGAAACATTTTGTATTTTGTGGTTTGGGAGAATTGACATTATAGTCAGCCTTTACATTTACAGAGTAAGCTCATATATATTTGCAAAATAAAGTGTGATGAAAAACATGTCTCCATTTTAAGCAAACGGAAATTTGGGACTAAACCATGACAACAGAATAATATGTGCTCCTCTTAAAACTGACATGATACAGGAATCGTCACCTCTTGACTTGTATGAGGAGAAATACATGATTAATCCTATACCTGCATTCCCAGGAATCCCATGACGATGGAGTTGATTGTGCCCAGAACCCCCTCTGGGTCAAAGGGCTGTGTGGTCTGATACAATTCCTGGAAGAAGAAAAATAAAAAAGAAGCAGCAAAGATTGATTTGATGGTTTCACTTCCCCCTGCAAGGTTTTCTGATGGATAGATAAGGTAATGAATGGTGTTTGGTAAAGATCTTACTTTGCACGTGGGGTATCTGTACATGTTATCGCTAAACATCAACCTATCAATGTGTCCTGCAGCGCCTCCAGTGCAGTTTGGGTAAAGACCATTATCACCGATTCCACCAGCTCCCAAATACCCTCTGAGAGCAAACAGGAGTGTAATCATGATTAGTGTGGACCAAGGAATTGCATATTACAGTCTCAAAACAAACAACAAAGGAGTGGGGAAAAAGAGCCTACACTGAATTTTGGGATCACGCAAATTTAGGTAGGAAGGTCCTGAGGCAGTTTTTCTAATTCTGGCAATTACCACCTCTAGTCTTTAAGCTTTGTATGAGGCTTGTGTTCAACATGTACTCTCACATGCCACAAAAGAAGTAAAAAAAAACAATCAGATGTGAAAAAGCTGTCACTATTTATAGGATCCCATGCAGGGTCACAGAAAAGGGAAAAAAACACAAAAAGCTGCACTGAGCAGAAGACACAGAGCGAGGAAGATGGATCCTCTGCCTCCACTCCTCTTATTGCACATGACAGACTGAGATTGCCTAATTATGCCCTCTGAAGCATCCACCATGGGCCCATAAATCACGGCAGCAACAAAAGGTGCACACAAACACCTCTGCTGCAGCCCCAACTGTAGATTATCTCAGCATGGAGAGCTGGATAAAATTCACACATTTAGCATAAGTGCATTTATGAGCAGACTGGACTTGGACCTACGTGGGGCAGTTGGGCACTGGCATGAGGAAGGTGATGCACAGCCACAGAGTCTCCAGCAGGATGATTATCAGCCAGTGGGGCCAATACAAGACCACATCCTGGATGGGGTTCCACCAGTGATACTGCATCACACACAAATCTTGTTAAGATACAATGTAAAAAAAAAGTTATTTTACAGAAATTTAATGTATTGTTTTACTGTTCGATTAAAAAAATTACTTTAAATGTCATTCAACAGTGAATACATGAAAAAGATAAATAATTAACCTAACCCTTTATCAAATATGCCCATGTTAGAGTTAATTATTCAATTGCCTTGTTACATTACATTGGACTCTTTGTAGAAATACAAAAAAATACAAATCCTATTGCTAAATGTATGGATTTGTATTTCTATATGTATTTTTACAGACTAAATGTCACAAAACATAAAACACAACATTGCAAATTTACTTTTTAAAGCCATACTTACATGGCATGGCTAGCATGGCTTTATACTGTCAGTCTTTCTGCCGGTCATTTATTACCTCCGTTAAGTAGGTTATGTTTTGTCTGTCTCTAAGCAGCATTACATAAAAACTTCATACAGATTTCCATAAAACTTGTTGGAGGATGGGATGTGGGCCATGGAAGAACCCATTAAATATTGGCGCTGATCCGGACGAAGAGGTGGCTCCAGGAATTTTTCGTCTCTTTCTCTGACATTGTGAGATGGGGCATTTTTTGACATTTTCACAGATTTCCCAGGGAATCGTCCATGGATCTTGGATAAAAAGATCTGATGACACATATCTATGAGTGTGAGGACATTTGTGCCACTTGATTTAATTCAAGGAGACTGTTGGGCCTCTGCTGAGTGCCATAGGGTATTTGATAAAGAGGATGAATCATGGTGCCCACAAGATGAATTGGTTATACCCTGACTTTTCATCTAATGTAACCATCATCTCATAATCTTCACTGTGAAATATCTCAACATGCAGATGTATCATACACCATGCTGGACCCCTGAATCTTTAGCAGTGGTGTTATCAGACGAATGCCTCTTTTTGTCCAATCATTTGGTTCATGACCAAACCAATAATGCCTGAACGAATAATATATACCTGCAACAACTGTTGATGCGTGTTGGAATCTACATTAGTCAAAGAGCTTTAGTTCAATGTTGTCTCAAAGTTTCCCTCAGTGTCTTTTTTCTTTTGTGTCTAATGGTGAAATTGAACTTGACAGAGCTGCTCACCGATGTCAGTGGGATTTCTGTCTGTCTCCAGAAAGTCTGCAGCAGAGACAGAACAAAGTAGGTGAAGCCCAGACGCTGCAGCACTCCAGGGATCCGCAGCCACGACCAGGACACTAGTGCACAGCCAACAACACACAGCACGAACACCCAGCACTGTTCAGATTAATAGCGAAACAATGCACAAATGTGTCACACAAGTAATAAATACAGCTCAGCGGTGTGGAGTTATTACTGCTGATTTAAGCAAATTGTAAATCAGTAATTTTAATGGTATTGAACACGAGATTATCCTCTCAATCATCCTACTATCAATGCTTCCTGGGCGAGGATGATGGACAGCGTGACACATGTAAATGGTGTCAGGCTTGAAGATATGAACATGTCAAGAAGGTGGGAAGCTGGTCAAAGATTCCCACTTATCTCTCAGTCTCGACAAATTAGGTCTGATTGGCTCGGCTCCTGGTCGAGAGATTGATGGTTATCTACACATTAGTTAATTGAAAACCTCTTTGCCACGCAACGTGCCGTTATAACAATGCAGTCCCAATCATTGATCGGCTCAAATCAAATCAAATAAAAGGCGGAAATCTCTCTTTTCACAGGAAAAGAGGAAGCTCTCACTGACTCACAATTGTTAAAAATGCAGGATACGACCCCCCTCCAAGATAACTTACTGTGTCTGTCACTTTAATAAAAATCATAGTGAAAGGTGCAGTATCATTGCAGTGAACTGCAGGAAGCTGTAACACCTTTTTAACACTATCTCTGATCAATGAATGCCGTGTGTGTGTGTGTGTGTGTGTGAAATTAAGAGCTTTTTTGTCGTTCAATATCTAATAAGAAGTGAAAGCTCTGATGTTTATTTCCCATCTTTGAGCACTTACAGTGATTGAATAAAACAATGATTCTTCTGGAAGTGAGCAGAACCAAGCAAAGCCATCTGAGAGCAGTGCAAACAGCCAAGGCAACACGTTTTTGAAAAGTGTTTTTTCCTTTTAAAATTCAAACATCCTCAAGTTACTTAAGAGTCTGGGTTTGAATTTGACTTTTGGAAATAATTGTCATTTAAACTTTTCTCTTCTCTAACGTGTCACTGTCAGACAAAGAAGAAGCAAAGTCAGATGTTTTGAGATATAATCTTGAAAACACACTTTGACCTTTAGAATGGGAATATTTTTACATGTCAAAAATGTTTACTTCTATGGAGTATTTTCTAGCTTTATCACAATGTGTTTTAGGGTTTTTAATGGAATCTGCATAAATGCATCAAACCTGTTACTTTATAATTTCCTAAACCCCACAAACAAAATGACAAGTCGTACTCAAACTGAAGTTTGAACGTCCTTCAAGCTGCTTTATGATGATCTGGACATATAACCATAGTGTGATTTATTAGAAATGACTCATGCTTAGTGTTAGAGGTTAACACCGTTCTCTGTCTCATCTGACACTGAAATGGTTTAACATTGAGCTGATATGTCTCCATTCTCTTATTAGATCAAACCCTGCAACTAAACTGCAGAGGACGTCCTTGGAGACAGAGGGCAAAGCTGCAGTTTATGGTAAAAGTCACCGGTGCTGTTTAGAGCAGCACCAACAGCAGCAGCCTCCACAGCAGCTGCATGGGGCTGACGGGGTGTAACACTATATGTTTATAATTGTCCATTACCACAGCGGTTGTTTTTGCTCAATCTGCCTCTGTTAAATGTCCCCCGGTGCTGGATTTTTGAGACTGCACACACACAATAACAATATTTTTGTTAACCCAGTTACACAGACGTCCACCCATGAAAGTCCATTAGCACTGGTGGGGGGCTAATGTGTGAGTTGCACCCTATGCATCCCCAAGTGAATGATGATACGGGGATTTTCCGGTTGCTTCCCCACTTTTAAGCCCTGCAGCTTTGGCTCTTAACACAAATCTGGATCTAAACACAATGTCTTTGAAACAAGGCTTTTCGTGTTCTTCATGGTATGAATGCAGCCGATATGAGATCTGTAGGACTGCAAATAATAAATTTCTGTTATTTTCTGCAGCGGCATCATCACTTGTGAAGAAACAGCTATTAGAGACTGCCCTAATGATGTAGTGGACCGTTGCATTAGGGAAAAGGCCACATGGGGCGAGTACTTTTCCGTATATTTAAGCAACTACTCACGTACTTTTATTCAGTAGAAAAGTTAATGTGGTACTTTTACTTGACTAAATTTCTGTCTATCTATTTACTGAAGTAAACTGTTTGAAACTTCCTCTTCCACTGATTACAGATTGTTGAAAGAAATGTCGTCTTACAGAAGTTATTATGTGATGTTATACAATATCACAGCTAATGCAGTTTGTTTAACTCTTCAGATGGATTCAAGTTCTTAAACACAAGTAAAGGTTCTGCTCTCGGCTGGTGAAAATGATTGAAAGAACTGTACGTGTAATAAGTGGGTTTATTATTAGATATGCCAATTGGTCTGAGTTTTGATCATTTACCCTGCACAGAACAAGCTCATGCACATATAACGTTTTGTCCCATTAACAATTACAGAATGTGCTGCATTGTGTGTACCTACGTGGTCCATCTCTTGGTGAGTAGTTGAGGAAGCAGAAGCCGAGCATCAGGAGGACGACGGTTCTCCAGGTGATTTTGCGCAGCAGCTGGAGGCGGCTCAGCCCTCTCCTGTGCATGGATCTGAAAGCCAAGACCACTGAGGTACCAATGATGAACACAAACCTACAAAACAAAAGTACGATGCTCTAAAAATAGGTGGACAGAAATATGCATATTTGTGTATATTGAAATAGGACTGGAAATATCTGACTGTCCTCCTCTACCACCTACCACGGCATGACAAGGTCCGCCACAGTTAAACCTGCAACAAATCCAGAGACAAATGAATATCAATAGACTCACAGATACTTGAGGTTCATGCCATTCAGCAGAGTGCAAATTTTCTATTCCAGACAATCCAAAAGGACGAAAAGATGAATTAAGAACAAAGCTATGTCCTTAAAGTGTTGCTCCTGATATTAACTTTCCATTTTGAAAAGGCGTGATGAATTAATATCTTCAGTCTTGTGACAGTAGTGGCCCTGCAGCGAAGAGAATTCATCAGTCAAACCACCCATGAAATCAATATACCCTTGTAGATGTAGTGAGGAGGCCATTATCAGATTTAAATTGGAAACACCCCTAAACGATGACATGCATTTCATAAAAGTTACAGAGACATTTAGGTTTGTTTTTTTCATTCACTTTTATTCACCTAGAGAAACCAAAGACCCAGCAACTGTCTCCCTCGAGATGCCTTGCTCAATGGCACATCAAGATAAATGCAGCAGGGGAGTGTCACTCTTTCACAACACCCTCCCATATTCTCCCAGCTGTCATTTAAACACTCACATTTAAACCTCCTCCTCCTCCTCCTCTCTCCTCCCTGGTTGTTCAAAACAATAAACGTCTCTATGGATCGCTGCTTTGATTTGGCTCGTATGAGGAATGGCATCTTGCGTGTTTGATTTGGGACGACATTTATCATAATTAGTGACAGCAGGTCAGAAAATGCTGCAGACATGATGAGGAGAGAGACGCCAATGAAGTTCATTTCAGTCTTTGTGTGAAGATGTATAGAAATATACACTGATGTACTGGTGACCCTGTGTGTACCCTGTATCTCACCCAATGTCAGCGAGGATTGGCTATGCTATGTTATATTCTCACTACTTCCATCTAAGAGGTTATGTTCTTATCTGCATTAGTTTGTTAGTTAGCGGGATTACGCAAAAACTACACCACGACACTTATGGGTCAGGGAGGAACCTATTACATTTTTGCGTCAAACCAAATCAGAAGGCAGATCCATTTTTACATAGTACAAGTAAGTATTTTAAGGGGGTGATATTTAGTCTGTCTAGTGTTACTGTATGGTAACAATATTTGTTACCTATTTTTTTGTCTGTGTTTAATTTGAAAGCTGTCTGTGTACATGGTAGATGTATCTCAATATGTGTAAATGCAATGTGGTGATAAAGAGGCCAATCAGCCTTGGTGGAGGTGTGTCTGTCTCCGTGTGCCCTTCCAGTTTTGGTTTTATTTTCTAAGTTTGTTTTTGTCTTAAGTGCTTGATTTTACTCAACCATTCCATGGTGCATGTTGAAAGAACCAGTAGCCTCCTCCACCGTAGTTCACGAACACCATCACTGTCAGGGCAAACCTACAAAGACAGTACAATGAGTAAGCCATATTTAGTAAATCAGTAATAATGGGATTAACCTTCATGCACAAGCAAAAAGTAAATGAAGGAAAGGGTTATCAAACATACATTTTAAAAAGGTGAAATACATAATAATATAATTATTTTCTAACAATCCAACAACAATACATTGATTCTGATTCAATTTTAACTTCTGAATTAAAGGTAAAGAGGCACACTCCAAATGCAAGGTAATGCAATCTAAGCATTATGAATCACTCAGGAAATGAACACTTGTCCTCTGGATCTCCTCAAGCAGGAGTGCTGACTAAAGCCTTTGCAGCTAATATATGATACACTTTATACTTTAGTACTGGCCACGGCTGCTGAAACACTGCACACGTGATGGAGTGCTCCACTGAATCAGACGCTGGAGAAAAAAAAGGTGTTTGCGTTGCATGTAAGGAAAATGACAGGGTGCCATTACACAACACAAACTTGCAGAGGAATGTAAATGGAAGCATGGTGGATGCAGCTGGTTGCTCTGAGGCAGATTCCATTCTTTCACCGTCCTAATTACTTCAGGTTATGCGTCTGATTCATGTGTTGTTAAAAAAAAATCATAAGAGGGTCTTTAAGAGGCAAAACAAGATTAGTACAACCTCTCGGAACGAGATCGCCTGATCATGTGCACTGTATCTGCCTCTGCCTCCTCTTGTTTTTCTGCCTAGATTAAATTAAGAGGTGCACCAAAGCCATTACTACTCTTTTAGCCCCAACCCGCTGATACAAGATTTTAATCGGCCACTATCATCTCAAAAGGGGCTCTTTAAGTAGACTAAACCGTAGTGCATGTGTCCATGTGCTCTTTTTCCTCTCTCTCCCTCCCTCACACATACACACACACATGCACACACATACACAAGCACACAGTCTATCATTTAATTTTTGACGAACATATCCATTAGTTGCCATAGAGACAAAGACAAAGGTTAAATCACTAGCCAGATGAGACCTGGTGAAAATCACTGCAATACCGTGGCTTATTGGTCATCTTTGTGATTAAACCACTCTGGGTGTCTGATTTTGAATAAGAGCTCCATTATAGGCAGATTACATTAGGAATGCCACACACGTAAGCACACGTTGTACCTGCTAATTATGATTAAAGGGAGCAATGGGGCTTAATTAATATGATGTGAACTGAGATCAATTTGTTTTATTTTGCAGCAAAGTTAATACACAAACAGATAATGTCCAGGCTGAAGCACCACAGGCGTGTTTTTTTTGGTTCCTAATCAGGTTTGAGAGGTAAATATCCCTATAAAGCTCTCCATTGAACATTTGTCACTTCAGTTATAGACCTAATTCATGCCTGTATGATTTATAGTTAACAGATTACAGACAGACGTGTCTGTAATGCAGTTACAACTGATTATGACTCACTGACTTGAATCCTTGCACATGTATTACTAATTAGAATATCAGCTGGGTACAGTTCTGTTGCGAAATATCTATGAAGTGACCTGCAGTGATGGACATATCAAGTACATGGACACCCAATCTAGTCATAATAAATTACTACTTGAGTGGAAATACCAAGGTTCCTTTTTGTGTCCAAACATCTGAGCGTATTTGAAACCGAATCGGAAAGAAAAACTTGGAGCTTAGTCAAAATAAGGCGCAGAATGAATCAGCCACCTGGTGTTAAATGCAGCCGGCAATCCATTGTTTTGATGTAATAGTTGTTTCTTCTGTGGTATGGAACCACTAACTACTGACGGTGCGATTTTCGACAGTAAGGGGACCAGCAACAGGCTTTTAGCAAGGCGGCACAAGATTAAAATCCAAATCCTTTTAGAAAAATTAACGTGCAACTGTAACCACACAGTTCTCTGTATATCATGTCAGTGGAGGCTGAGCAATGATCAGAAAAAAAAACCTTTCAGCTCACAAGAAAAGCCTTTTGCCTTCAGAAATGTCTCAGTATTTATGGCAGATGACTGATGCATCTGTTCTCTGTAGAAAAGTTGTTACTTATCAGGGGTATGGATCATAACTCACAGAGCTGAGGAGGCACACACAGTGTTAAGCCTGAGTGCTGAGTCACAGTGTGATTAAGTGTGTTGTCAGGTATGAGAATTTCCAATATTACCAATCGAGTTTCAATATGTGACAAGTATTTGTAACCCTTGAGTGACATTTTGGCAAATAGGATTGAACAGTGCTGCGGTAGCAAGTGCAAATAAAAGGAAGGGAAATTGAAATGCATCATTTCATGGAAACACTGTTGTGAATGTTTCCAACCAATTCAGTCCAAGGTAAATAAACTAAGTGGTATTTTGAATTTATCACATATGCGCGGCGGTTTCAGGCAGCATTTCGTCCAAAAGAAAGCCACAGATTGAGAAGAGGCCAGTCGTCCCCTGGATGCTGTCTCTGTGCCACTGGATTTCCTCTCGCTCTCCATTTTGGCAGGAGATCTATGACCGTGTGGATGTGTGCTGATATGTTGACGGTAATATTACATCAATTACTTGGCGAGGGGGAGGTCAAAGCCACACCAGCATCCTGTTTCCAGAGAGGCGTGCTTTGTGTCTACCCCCAGGCCACAATTAAGGCGAGCAGGGAGTCCAGATTCAATCACATGCATCACTCCTGTCCAACAGAAACACACTGTTCCAAACCCGAGACGCACTGATATCACAAATCATGCCCAAAGCTATACTGCCTGATAACAAAAGCTTGAGGGAGCATGTGGCCAGACTGTGACCCCTGTAATTATTAGTTATGCTGGGCCTGTAGATGTTCATCATGCCTCAGACCGCTTCAGAAAGAATTAGCATGTGAGCGAGCAGCATGTGGTGATGGACTGATAAAAAGGTTGGTTGTTGATGGTGCACATACCCTCGGAAAGTGTCCAGTGAGCGCAAACGTGTTGGTTTGGCTTTGGTGATGTCCAGCTCGGCTTCAGAAGAATGCGCTCCATCCTGCAGAGACAAACAGCAGTGAAACAATGTAATGACCCTATGATTTACCTACCATACACATGATGTATGTTAAACCTTTGTTGTTTCAACTTTCCTTTGTCGTCGTAGCTAATCTGTGTTAGCAGTTGATCGATATCAGAGAAGCTAGTTCAGTAAATGTCTTAAAAAGAAAACTTGAAACATTTCTCATTTACTCATTTACTTCAGCCTTTAACTAGATCTTGCACTTACTTTTTATCACTTTCTTTTCTGTTTTTCTGCATTTTTTATTAGAATTCATTTCATGTCAAAATACCATGGTACATGTACCATATACTCTCAAAAATACCATGGTATCCATACTATACTACTACATAGTACATATACCATGCAAAGGTCTTAAGGGCAGAAATATCCCCCAAAAATATTACAGACTATTCTCTGTAGCCTATAGGTTTGTCGCTATGAGTGAGCCCTTTCAGATTATATTTAGTATTCTAATCAAACATTAATGCAAATCTATTGATTAGTGCAGCTTTAAATACTTCTGCATTTTTTTCTCAGTAGCTCCCATACTTTGCCTCATGATGCTTTGAAAACGTACACATCAAAAGATCTCTTTGAATAGCTGACAAGTTCTGTTGATTTTCATTCAATTTTAATTACCCTCTTTTGCAGCACTGATTGATTATGATCAGATTATAATTCAAGGATATTTGTTGCAGCTACAAAAAACATGCCTAATGCAAAATCATTTCAAAGATTTTATGTTACGGAAATTGTTCTGAGATGTAAAAATATTGACAGAAACAAAAGTCCAAAATGCCACATTGGTCATAACCCCTAAAAATCCTGTTGAGCCTCTTTATGTTCAGGGTCATTCTGTGTGCAGGGTGCTGGTGCCTCTTTTCCCCCATCGCTGTGAAGGCAGCATTGAGATGGCTCTGGCCTGTTGCCCTCTCAGTTGGATTAGCCTGACTCACTGGCCTCCATGCAGCAGTTTAAAGAGCCAGAGCAGGAAGACACCCGCACTAATATGTTTTGATGGATCTGCTTGCCATAAAGACGGCATATGGAAGACCGAGGCATCTTGCTTGGAAGAATGAGAGGAGCCATTCATGCTCACCAAAAACACACAGCAGTTCTTGCCATCAAGCAAGATGATTGGATGGACACAACGCTCTGCTCTATCGCTTGTGTGTTAGTCTGCAGTACAACTGGCTCCGCTAACATTTGTATCAATCATTCCATTAGTGTCTCCCAAATGGCTGGAGTCTCTGAGCAATTTTGGTATGCATCTCATGCTGCGGAGTTGGCCAACGAAAATAATTCTGTTGGATCAAGGCAATGTTAATGTTAGATTGCAATAAAGCTTAAAGTCAGTCATTTTCTGCAGAGGAAAAGAAAGATGGTACAGTTACTTTGCATTGTGTTTCTCTGAATGCTTTAAATGATGTCAAACAAAACAGGAATTTTAGGAATAATGAAATTAAACGAAGATGAAATAATCATTTCCTGGGAAGAGACTACCACCTAAGGACTAATTTGATGAGAATCCTTTGATTGGTTTATGATTGATCTACATCTAATCAATCAAATCATACATCTGTGTCATCTCATTGTGTGCATGAAGATATTAATCACCAGCGGCAGCATTTTACTTACATTATCCACCGAGTACTGAGTGCATTGGCAGCAAATGGTCTTAAAGAAATTTGATGTACGACGCCTCCTGTAAAAAGAACAAGTCTGGTGTGTCTGGTTCTGATGGAGGGGTAATGAAAGCTGACTCATTGTGGATGATGTGAAAAACACATGGGTACCTGTAGATGTAGGGTGCCGCAACAACCAAGAGAGCAATTATGGCCAGTAGGAGAGCAGAAACCAAAAGAGCTGATGGAACAGTAGAAAAAAGCTCATGTTTACAGATTGAGGTTGTTTAATCAAACAGCTCGTTATCTCTGTGTCTGGGTGTCCATGTCTGGAGCTTTACATGTCTATCAGAATAGAATCAGACTGGGGATAAAAGGCCTGATAAACCAGTCCAAAGTGTCTACTTAACTTGCCTCCTGATGCCCCTGTGGGAATCAAACAGTGTCAAAGGGGATCCCTCAAGTGACAAACAAGAGCCTAATGGAAAACTCTTGGTCGATCCATCACTGGGCAATCACTGTGAGTAATCTAAGCCTTTGGTTATGTGAAAAGGAAAATGTAAGACTATACTAGGGGCAGGATGGTTTTTATTTGCCAAATAAATATTGAAATTTTAAAAACCAACCACATATGTTCCTGTATCTGTGTCACTACAGACAGAAATATTAATAAAGATACTAATTAAGCTAAATACTACTTATTTTTACCTTCTTCCTTGCAAATAAAAATGAAAGTTGCACAATTATCCCTCACCCATCTGTCCCAGCAGCATTGAAATAACAGTGAGACATTGGACAGCTGTGCTGCTGATTATAAAACTATGACACATCGGCTCAGGAGATATCAGTACGCTCTTCTTGCGTCAAAGCACGGAGGAAACACAGGAGCGGCAGTTGCCGTGTTTGTCTTCAGTGGAAAAACAAACAAAAAAAGATACCATTTCAACCTGAGCTGAATCCACACTACGACATTCACTCGGAACAAAGAGAAGTCACTTATAATGGCCTCAGGAAAGTCCTGGCATCTCTGGTGTCTGCTCATAAAAACACCATAAAGCTCTCAGCATGTGAAGTGAAACAGCTTTAGATCCCTGCAACAGCCATGCTCCCTCTACGAGTCAGAATAAATCGCTAATTAATGGAGGTATTTGAAACAACCAGATCAAGTTCAGTTTGTCAATACGTTTGCTCAAGTCGAACACTTAATATGACTCAATATCTTGGATTTTCTTTGAAAGAATTAAGGCCTCAGCAGGTGACTTGTGGTTTGTGGTACAATGCAGAATACAGTACTAACGTGATTAAAGACTGGATCTGATAGCGGCTGCACAGAAATACTTCTGTGAAGAACACTGCGCCCAGAAAATGACCTCACGAAGGCCCGCGGCCAATCAATGTGAGACACTGAAGTAAACTTTGAAATTCCCTAGCAGGGCAACTCTAACCCGTCTCGAGCTGCTGACCAGACCATTACTTAAGCTGAGCAAGTCCTACAGGGAGTTTGTATAATCACCGGTCTGTGGAGCTAATGGAAGCTCATCATACTGTGAGGGGTGCAGTCACACTGACCATATATCTGCTGGGATAATGGCTACTTGGCCTTAAAAGTCTGATCTACAACATAATCTGCAATATTGTTAAGTAGAGTGTACATTATGGAGAGAGACGCTTTCAAAATCCCATTACGCCCTAATCCTTCCACACTCCCTAATGTATTACCCACAATCCCCCACTCTCGGAGCCAGGCCTTCAAAACAAACAAGAGAAGCTTCTCTTTTTATCCCTTTTCAAGAAACATTGTCTTATATGATCAATACACATCATGTCCCCAGAGATGAATGAGAGTTACTGCTCAGTGGATGAGGACGAGCCGAGGGATTCTGCTCTTTGCTGACTCAATTAAGCAGAGAGCGGATCAAAAGGCTCGACCTGAGCGTGGACACATGTTCTCTTACTGTCAGTGTGTCTCAACAAGGCAATCACATTCACCCTCCGTCAGTTCTTCATCAGTGTTGTGCACTTACGCAGGTATGCGTTGTTTGGTCTTTTGGCCACAGTGTGAGCACAGCTGGGATCACTGGTGGCTTCAGACATCTGGATCCAAACAGAGTAATGACCACCTTCTCCATATTTCTGACTCCATCTGCAACCATAAAAAAGTGAAAACCACTTAACACTGCACGCTGCTTTTATTTGATCCCCTGTGAGATTGTGTTTCCTAACATGAATACATGTAATTATTTTTTCCATCCTTATTTTCCTCCACACAGCTCGGCAGCACCACCTAGTGCCTTTGTCCCCAAAGTGCTTCCCTTCGTCTTCCCACCATCTCCAGTTTCAGGCCCCCAAAACATGCATTACACGCTCATATTGATCCACTGTTGAGATGACATACTAGCTATCACTTGGAGTGTTATTTCAAAGGGAGAAGGGAATCAATAGCAGCACAGTCTGGTTAGAGACCTCAGTATTGATCTGAGAGGCCCTGGAGCAGGCCTCAGAGAGCGCCAGAAAAAGCACCAAGCAGAAACCCGTCATGTTGCAACTGAATCCCTGGCACCATGTTTACGGGTGACCCCCAAAAGTAAAGCTCAGCCCCGGTATCCTGTCAGTGCTGATTGTTTCTAAATATGGCGACTGTCTCCTCCAGTTAACGTCCCCACTGAGGTTTCCAAAGGACGTGTGGCTTTAAAGCTTTAAAGAGCCCTTTTCATCAATACTGGAATGTCGGGTCTTATTAACCCCAAAAAGGCTCCTGATCGATTAGCGGAGAGGTGGTTTAAAGGAGGGCATCACTCAGGTCCAGAAAGCAGGTCAGGATTACTCCCCCAGCCCTGTAAATAATCACGCAGACTGCTGATGCCACCACACTATATTATGTCTGCAGACAAGAGCGATACACTCCCACAGGCAGAGTCAATATGAGTAAACAGGGAACAAATCAGCAGTTTTACCACTGTGGGCTGTAAATTAACAACTGGTTTCATCTCAGTGATGCTTCTTGAGAATATTAAACTGGCTGTCACCTGCACAGAGTTGAGTTCCTGGTCTGTGGTTCCACCTGCACAGTCAGAGTGAATTTAGTGCTGATCACCACAGATGCATTGTTGTTGTTGGGTTTCACACTGGCCAAATGCTGGTACACACACTGAGGAGGAAAAAGAGGAGAAACACTGACTTGAAACCAATAGAAATACTAGAATAACAGGGGTCTTCATGTGGTCACAAGAAAAATGTTAAAGGGTCATAATGAGTCTAGAGTGAAAAATAAGTATTTGGATAAAAGATATATCTAACATGTACATGTATGACTGGTGCAAAAAGAGCAGTATAAAGAATTTGCAGAGTATATCGAGCTAGTCAAGGAGGGGGAGGGTTAGGGTTAGGAGCACGGAGAAAATACGCACCCCTAAAGCTCCCTTTGAATGATTTATTCTTTAGCTGGATGTGTCTGTTGTTCCCATGTTTTTTGCTTTTAACAAAAATCAGGATAAATCTCACACATTTCTCCACCTCCAACAATATTAAATGTAAGAAAAGATGCACAGCTGTTCCAAAACCTGTTTCCAAAACAAACCGAAAAAACTTGGGAATGACTGATGTAGTTGATGTTAGAAAAGCTGGTAACTTTTTTAATTACTTACAAAAATAAGAGAGGGATGGTAGATTTTATCATCCTTAAATCTACCTGCAGCTCTTACATCTTAAAAATCCATTTAAGGGGCTCTCCTCTGATTTTCTACATGAAAGTCTGTTTACTTGTCACAAAGCATAACTTTGCATAATTTATTTTGTGCGTCTGAAGGGAGCTTTATCAAATCTGAGACAGAAAGCCAAATGGATTATCCCGACTTCTGACAAAAAATAAAACCTGCATTAAAAACTGGACACGTGAGGAAACACTAAGTACATCTAATGAAAGTGCTACTGCATTATGGGAAATGCAGCAGCGTTTTATAAGCTTAACTTAATGTCTGGATATCACATTTTGACCATTCTTTGTTTCTTTTGGTTTTTAATTTGTCTCGTATGAGTCTGTAGGGCTCTATGGCTGCGAGGAATACAGATTTTTTGGTTCTGTGGGCATCATAATGAGCCTCCCCAAACTGACAATAAATCAGTTTAAGAATATTGAATCATTCATGTATTAGTAATAGGAGACATCTGAGGTTAAACAGACAGACAGAGGAGAAGGGAAGAGACAGTATAACTTCTTTACCTTGTAGCAGTAATCAGATGTGTAGAAAACCTGCACCTCTTCTTTCAGCTGGTTATGAAAAGTTAACAAAGCCTGGTCCATTCTCAGACTGGGCCCTGGAATGGTTTGATGATTTACAGCTGGTACACAAAGCTTTTTGAACATCATAAACATGAGATAGCAGCAGGTTGTCTCCGATCACAACCACCATCATGATCACAACACAGACTCTGTATTATCGACAGAGTGAGATTTCAAACATCTGACACGTCCATTTTGTTATGATCAGATTTTAGCTTCAATGACATGAGATGCTCAAAAGAACACAAATACCTTTTTGGTTTGACATAAAGAGGCTTCTCCTGGTAGACTCATGTGTAAACAACTACATGATTAAGAACAACAGACTGATCCACATCCACCACCGATGAATCACACGAGACTCACCTGAACTGACGTATCGTCCAGAGCTGCTGCCTACAAGGATTAACAAAGTCAAACTTGTTTGTAGCAGTATCCTGAGCTCCTTCATGGTGCTGCCTGAAAACATGACCAGTCACTGCTCATCTTTATAACTCTCACACCAATATAACAAGCGGTCAAAGGGCAGAAGACATGTATGGTTCCTATTAACCAGGGCTGGCCGATGTGGCCGAAAATGAGATAGAGATAGAAATGTTCAGTCGATATTGATAATTATCAGGACAAATGTCACATTATTATTGTTTCTCACAAGTTTAAAGACTGCAGCAAAACATTTTTTGAAATCTGAGGTAGATCAATGGTGTTTTATACCTGTTATACCTCACTGTGTTTACACAATGCAAAAGCCATATATTGATATATATATGACTTTTGTTTTATTGCTATTGATGAAACATAAGGGAGTGATAAATAAAACAAGAATGATTGTCCTAAATTTATTTTAAGTCTAAATGTGTGCAAGTGTGTGTGTGGGTGGGTGTGTTAGTGTAGAGGTCAGACATAGTTTGCCCAGGAGGAAGAGCGGCCATCCACTAACCAGAGAGTCGGTTGTTTGATCCCAGTCGCCCTCATTCTGTGTGAAGAAGTGTACTTTGACACAGTTGGTTTTACTAGCAATTCATGAAGTGTGATAAAGAAAATGTAGCACATATACTGTATGAATTCTTTTTTTGAATGAGTGAATGGTAAAAACTGTACGATAGAAAAGCTCTATATAAAATACAGACCATGTACAATTCCTCCAACCTGAGAGTTGCTTTTCTTTTCTAACCAAAACACTACTATGCATCAATCTCATTTCCTCATCCAGTCAACTGTTAAACGCTGAGCACTTGTCACATCCTCTCCCCTCCTCATTTAATTAAGCAGTTCATTTCCCTGAGCGCTCGATGAGACAGATGAGTTCACCGGGCCAATCTCCCAGGAGCACCTCATTAACCTTTGACATGAACTCTGCTGGAGAGCAGCGCTCACTTTTAAATCTGCTGTCATGCTAAACAGAGACATTGTTCATTTTATACTGGACTATGACAGTGAAGTTTAAGTTCACGTGTATATACAATATGAAACAGATTGTTGAAGAGGTGTCTTCATCCTTTCACCACACAGTTGCACAGGCCTTTGTGTTGACTGCTGCTACGCCAGCTGGCCTCAGGCAACCCTTGTGCAACAGTTTATGATTAAACCCATGTTGACAAGTGGAGGTGGAGCCAATCAGCAGGGAGGTTTTCTGTTCAGGCTTCTGCAGGGGCAGCTAAGAAGGACCCACAGCTCATGTGTCGAACACAGATAGAATCCCTCCAGTTGCTTTCAGTGTCTGCCACAGCAGATTTGCCTCTGTGCAACCAGGGAGCTGAACCTGAACCTCCTCTGTGCATGACAACACTCTGCAAACATGGTGAGTACACAAACAGCACCGTGCGTCACACCTGCTACACACTAACTGACCCACAACCTGTTGATATTTCCTCCATCTGATATTCTAAAACCCCACTACACCATGTTTTATTGCAGAATGAGGAAAATGAGTTCCTTTTCGTATGTCTGTAATTATGATTTTGCATCAGTAAGAATGACATAAGCACATTTCTGTGTCTGTGCATGGAGCCATTGGTGTGAGATGAACAGATGAGGTTTAGTGATCCTCTTGTGTGTGTGCTGCCCATTCACTCCACAGATGAAGCAGATTAGAGCGTTGCTATGATACGTGTTGATGTCATTGCTCTGTTCCAGGCTGTGGTCATGTCATCTGCGTGACCGCTCATCTGGAGGAAAAGCCTTCAACCGATCCCTCTTCGTTCCACAATAAAGTCATGTAGATGTTGTGGGTTGTTGTCAGTACGGTCGGGGTCATGGAGGCGGAAAGAATTGACTTTAAAAACATGTGACCCTGCATCATGAGTCCAGACTTTAAAAGCTGAATGACCAAAACGGAATCCCCACCCCCACATACCTTTGAACCAGGAATGCAGACTCTCATTGTTTCCAGATGGGACCCAGTGCAACCAATCACAGTTTGTGTTTGTGAACCTGCCCCTCTAAAATCTGCTCTGTCCCACCAGGCTGGTAAGATCCAGAGTCTGACTGAAGAGGAGAGGACCCACCTACTGCCCCTGCTGCGCAATGCTCAGTGGGTGGAGGTTGTGGAGGGGCGGGACGCCATCTACAAAGAGTTTGTGTTCAAAGACTTCAATCAGGTTTGTAATATGCCATTTCTCATAGGCTAGTGCTGAACTCACTGAATACACATAACTAGCAGCCACTGTACCTTATGTTATATGTCCATGAATTGAGGACTTCATGTTCCTTCCTTTCAGGCGTTTGGCTTCATGTCCAGAGTGGCTCTACAGGCAGAGAAGATGGATCATCATCCTGAGTGGTTCAATGTCTATAACAAGGTATAAAAGTCAGTTTCTGGATTGAGTTTAAGATTTCTTTACTGGTTTTTGAAGCACCTCATGGTCTTGCACCAGTATACATGTCACATATGCTCACTGTGTATGAACCAGTTCAGCTCCTCAGGTCCTCTGATCAGGTAGGTGTGCAAGACAAGACAAGACTTTAGTTTCTTTAAACACTCTACCTGGGAACTGGAGAGCAGCTGGAAGTGTTCAAATATTTAAATTCAAGCTTCAAACCTCTCTTTTTAAACAGGCTTTTGATTAAGTTTGGTCTGCAGACATTATTTTATTGCATCTATGCTTTAAATGTTTCTGTCCATATTATTAGTACGTATATGTAATCCAAATATACCACTTATATACCAAATATATACTTCTTTTAACTCTTCCTTTTGTAAAAGTTTTTATTGCTTTTAAAATGGTGCAATATAAATAAAGTTTGATTGTTTAAAAAAACTAATGACTGCAAAAGCGATAAGAACCCTTAGAGTGGATGCATGTCCTATCATCAGTAAATGCATCAGAGCAGGACTGGGTTCTGATTGGCTTTCCTTGCTAGAGAGAAACCCAGTACTGTGATCATGTGCCACAGCTTCAAATTCATGTGATCTAGATTTATCATGGATGAGAAAGATGCTCCTGCCATCGCCCCATAACAAAGCACTGTCCTAATAACTCACTAATTCAATACAACGTCCTGCTGTCACAGAACTTACACGCTCACTCAGTTGTATAATCCTGTTCTAACGTCCCGTCAGGAAAGTGTCAGCCTACTGCAAAGCAGTCCTCCTCCCAAATGTTTCTTTCATCCAAAGCAGGAGATGTGGAGTCGGACAGGCCTTAATGATGTTTTGGAGTCGAGCATTCAGGAGCTAGAGCACATGAAGTCAGGTGACCAGAAACACGATGACAGGGGCCTGTACCACGAAGCGAGATTAGTGTATTAACTCTGGAGTTAATACATGTTTTCTGGTCTGGTCTGCTCTGCCTTCAGATAATGTTTCCCTCCCTGTGACATTGTGTTTCCTGGAGAAACAGTAACATCTAAAGTTTATGTTCTTCATATGCAGCACTGCTGAAGCAAAAAGCTCACTGTTTATAGTTATACTAAAAGATTAAATCAAACTGGCCAGGGGACTAGTTTATAATCTAGAAACTCGTAAAAAGTTTCTTTTTTGTTTTTAAGATATTTCAAGATGTTCACATTAGTCTCTACACTTCTGGTCTGAATCAACACTTCCAACATAATCAACATAAAGCAAAACCACTCAGCTATTCACACAAAGGAAAACAGCGTGTCCTTGTCATTTGATGAGTGTGATATTCACAGTCGTCCCGCATCTTCCCTCTGTTCCCTCAGGTCCAGATCACTCTGAGCACCCATGACTGTGGAGGCCTGTCCCAGCGTGACATCACAATGGCCACCTTCATCGACCAAGCGTCTCTGATGTGACCGACATACTTTCAGTCATTTTAAGAGTCAAAACTGAAGAGGAGGAAGTCACCTGCAACACCCAAAGAATACGAGGCAGTTACTTTCTCTTCATTGTGAGCAACGTAGCCGTCTGTAAAAGGGTCCAATGTGTTTTTGAAAATACGCTGCTGTTGTTGTTGCACATGGTGAAAAAAAGATTATTGGCCAAAGACAATAGTACAATTATGTTTACAGAATCAAGTCTAAAAGTTCCAAGTAATTTCTCAACTGCAATTCCAGTTGTACTTATAACTAACATTCACAATGGTGTATGTGTCCCTTTGTCATTTGTCTTTTGTGCATAGTTTTTGTACTTGAATGGCAGTAAAATCATTTTCTGTCTTCTTGTTGCTAAGAAATGAGCAGAAAATCATCTTTTCAGACTGAATGAATTTTACTGGAAACTCAACTCTGTCTGTGTTATCTGTTAATCTGTGTTGGCTCTGGATCCTTTGCTGGGAAAAACCAGCAGTGGCTTTCAGAGTTAAATTGAATAATAGATTCATGCTGACTTGAAGAGAGACTTGATGAAATTCTTTAAACCTCGTTCATTCAGAACCATACATTCAGTGACACAAGTCTTATAGTGGCTGACAAAGCTGATACTAGAGGGTGATAAATGCTTGTAATATCAGCTCATATAGTCTATCCATAATCCTTTTTATAAAAAGCTTTAAAAAAAAAGACTAGAAGTAGAGTGCATACCTCTGCCAAGGCCTGATGGTCCACATAAATTCAATCAAGCTGCACCAAATTTCAAACACTCATTGATATCGGTTCCCTAAAAGTGCCTGATCCAGGAACTACTCCCTGGGAAAACGCTAAAATTATGAATAACACCTCATCTCACAATGTTAGAGAAAGTGGCAACCATTATTCCTGGATTCCATGCCAAAATTTAAGGGGTTCTTCCCTGACCCATACTGCATCCTTCTACCAGGTGTCATGGTTATCCGTAAAGTAGTTATTCGTTATGTAACTTACAAACAAACAATCCAGTAAACAAATGACGGGTGAAAACGTAACCAACCAATTATAGAAAACTTAAAATAATTAGGAAAATGATTATATTTTTCTACATTGTTTTCATATCGTTGCATACCGATGTCAGTGAATAGCTCACACTAATCAGTCGGGCTCAACTCAACAGTACAATATGATCCAGTACTCCAGAAACTTTTCTTTAAAATGTTATTTTTGTCTAAAAGATCAGTTTACCTTAACGATGTCTCTGTTGTCTCGAAGGCAAATACCAGACCACGATATGAGAGAAAAACTGCTGAGACGTCATGACAAACCAGATGTTTTCTGTTTAGACCTTCACACTCTCTGTTCTGGAGAGGAATCTCTGGAAGTTACTGCTCACACAGGAATTCTCATTAAAAGTTTTTATTTAAAAGAGATTTGTTGGCCATTCAATCATCACACTTGTTGAGGACATGTCTCCAAAGCAAAAAGGAAGAGTCATTGCTGGAAAAGCCCTTGTTTTTTTTGCACAGGCATAAGTTTCCACATCCTTTCACTGGCTGCAGTATTAAAGGATGAATGGATAGTACAAGCTTCAACCGTTAGTGGGGGTATTACAGCGAGTCTTATGTCATCAGTCTTACAACCAGGCAAATGACTAAAAGATGGTGGATCCCTGCACATGTAATAACCTAAATACATTCATATCTCATCTCTTTTATAACTGCTTTGTAAATAAAAACACAGCTTCACGAAAAAAGAAGACTCACAAATTAAGTGTCTAATAAACACGAATGGTTAAACTACACCAACAAGGCTGATGAGCCACCATTCAACACTACACTTCTAATAACGTATCTCTTCAACATTAATAGTGGAGCGTTCCCCTTCATTTCTCATTCATAAAAAGGAAAAGTTACATATTGCACAAACATGGAAGTAATTTCATGGAAACACAATTACAACAAGCAATATTAGGAAATCACATGAAATAAAGAGAACACAAAGTCCTTTTGGTGTGACAGTATACGTTGTTACTTTGTTATTAGCCTGTAAGTGAATGTTTACATTTTTACCACAGTATACCCACATTCAGACAGAGAGACCTCCGTCACAGTGGATCTGATTGCTTTTCGTATGAGGACAGGTGCATCTCACATTAGAATATCGTGAAATCGTTCAAAGTTTGTTATTTTAAAAAGTGAAAATATTAATATATATCCTGGACTCATTACACATAAACTAATGTTTCAGTCTTTTTCTTATTTTAACAATCTCAAAATATTTCATTTTAAGACTGTCACATTGGACAGAGACAACGTCAGGAGTGTCATATCTGGGCTGAGGAGAAAAATAACTGGACCATTTCTCAGTGGTAAGGGAGCTGGGGCTAAGTATTAAGTGCATAAATAAACATACCTTTCAGAAGTTGGAATTTTTTATATTGTGAATCCCTTTTTTAATTGATCTTAAGAAATATTTGAATATTTTTGAAGAATTGAATTTTAGATTTTCATAACTTTAAGCCGCAATCATTGAAACACAAAATGTGTGTAATGAATATAGAACACATGAAAGTTTCATTTATTACAAAAAAAACCTTTTCCACTACATTCTAATTTTTTAGATGCACCTGTGTATTTAAGAACACTTTATTAGTTTGTTAAATGCCTGAACATTCTGAAGCTTCTGTTAGATTAATGGGGAAAAAAACAGTGGCCCTGTTAGGATGAGTTTCAGTGGATGAATAATTTGCATTGAGTAGAAACTGAGGTAGATTGAATTAGGAGACAAATGATTAAAACAATGTACTACAGGCAGACTACTGATTACTATTACTGCTAATTAATAATAAACAGTGGACCAGGGTTGGAAACAGCCTTCAATCCAGTCTGACAAAAGATTTTGACTTTCATTAATTTACTTTACAAGCCAACTGCTGTGAGGAAATCTGAAAACAATTAATAAAATAAGTGGCGGATGTATTCCTGCTGTGGTTATTACTTTTCCCTTGCTTTTTTAAATATTGCATAATGACATTAAAAGCTCTCACTATCAAAAACTTTCTCCCTGTGTCTACAAATCCAACCATAGTGGCCGGACTTCAAACAAAAACAATGTAGATAAACAGGATTACAGACGAACCATCGCATCTGAGATCTGTCGTTTCAAGTGAGTCCCACATTCAACTGATATGTTCTTGTCAGGGCACTGCAGTGCTTTTTTCATATGAACGCTATTTTCCAGAGATGATGGGATGATGATAACCAAAAGCCTGAGTCATACTGCCACATGCAGAGCCAGTCTAGAGCAGCACATCAGATGTCCCACTAGAGGGCAGCACAGCGTTTCTAACAAGCTTTCAGTGGTCTCTGTTTTTGCTGAGTCATCACAGATTTTTGAAGCCGTGATGGTGAGCTGAAATGTTCTGGAGTTTGGAAAAAGAAAATGAATGGTTTCACGGTGAAATCAGTGTATATTGTAAGAGATAGATGCATTGAACATAAGCTACAATTGAAATGAGTATTGAGAACATAAAACCAACTCACACTCTTCCACAACAATGAGTTAATCAAATAAAATGAATAAAACGTGTTTGGAATCTGTCACTTCTCTGCGCTGTGAGCGCAGAGTGTTACAAGTGATTTCCCCCAAATGACGATGGCTTGTGCTTCACAGATGTTTACAGATGTTTTCATGTGTTGTAGGTGTGCAAGATAAGGCAACTGTTGAGTGATTAACTCTGAGCTCTGGGGGAGAGGCAAGCATGCAGTCAGGCATCGGGGGCCCGATTCCTGTTTCAGTGAGCTTTGCCGTTGCCGTTCATGTGGCTGGTGTTAGTCTTGGGCACCTCTGTGCTGTAGAGACAGTCGAGGAAGCCCTGGGAGATCTCTGTCACCATGGATCTGTCTGGGATGGACTGGGCCATGCCATAGATCGCTCCCTGAAACGGCAGGAGGACATGACTGAGCTCACAAGTGCACAGTTTAGATAACAGAAGATAAACATGGTCTAGGAACTGCAGTTCTAACAATGCCTCAGGGTTCATAAACATGAAGTATAATATTGCCTTTGAGTGAGTGCGTTAGCTGTGGGCTACAACATGACACCTAACTTGTTTATATAACGTCAAGTGCAAAACAGCAGAACTATCTTCCTGTCTGCTGTACAGACAAAGATGTGCAGACATGGATGTAGAGTTTTTATGGATATTAAGTTTCGATGGATATTCCAGATGATGATATTCTCACAAAGTGTGGACTCAGATGACACTGAGAAAAACCCCTGTGTTTACATTTTTAGTAAAGAAAAAGTCAGGGAATATAACAAGGCACTCCTTGTTTTATGGAAGCATGGGGTTTGTTTTTATTTCTGATATTCAGATGAAGGTATTGTTTCATTCAGCGTTGTGCTCCAAACAAACTGAATGGCACAATGCAGGTTTGTGTCTCTAGGGTGGAGTTTCCACCCCATTCAAAACTGACACCCAACAACAGCACATGCACTTGTCCACTTGAAATAGTGGCTTGTGCAGCAGAAAAACGAAATCCCACTTTTACTAACTGCTACAGTTTAAGTTTGGCCTCATGTATGGATGTGAAAGGTTAAACACATGAGAAATCTGCAGAATATTCTATGGTTTGGGTTCAGTACAGTTCTACAGTCCAAAGAACATGTTTTTAAACTGTAGGGGTGGAAACTTATTTTTCAATTTTCATTATCTACACCGTTAGCCCCAAAATATTGGTTGTGGCCATCAGAGGCTAATTTTATCATTAGAAAATCACCAATGGGCTCAGAGATTGTTTTTATGAAAATGTTAAATGTTAACATTCACCGATGTCTAACAGAGAGCTAGATAGGTTAATTATTAAATACCAATGTACTGAACATACACTCAAGTGCACACAATATCAAACACTCTGGTACTGTTTGTAATCCAATATAACTGCTCTGCACATTCAACACCTAAAATATTCAGTTGTTGACAATCACTGAGATGTTAATTCAGTTTTAGCACTGAGGTCACAGTTAGTCATTAAGTTGTGTACATTATATTGACAGGAGTTTGTAAAATTCTGACTCACTCATGTATGTCAACAGGAAGGCCCTCCCAAAAAAGAGGAAAATCAGAAACCCCTCTCAATACAATATAATTCCCACATGTCAACAACAAGTGAACATGATAAACTTTTTAAGATGTAGACGTGGGCTGTGTGATCAGAGATATCTCACCATTCCTGTGGTTTTCTCTTTGGGGTTCTTCATGATGATGGCGACCTGCTCTTTGACATCACGAATGAAATTATCCGCGACCCCCGACTGTGTGTGCAGAACTGTGCAACAAATGTGGATACTGGGAAAGATGAGATCGTACAGTTGTTAGTTACTAATGAATGTATTTATCAAACCAATAAATCTGAAAAATCCTTTGTTTTATATGTACCTGGATGGGTACTGCAGTGTGTTCAGATTCCAGCCCTTCGACGTCAGTGCATTAGAAAGACGAAAGATATCGAAAACATCCGAGCCCATCGCCACCACTGACACCTCTGGGTCCCCAAACACAAACACGCCTTTTATCTTGCAGATTCTGTCAAGATGAAAAAAGATTTTTTTCGTAAATGATCGAAAACGTGATAAAGAGAAGAATTTCTCGTATTGTGTCGATCTGAGCGTCTTACTCTGTTTTGATTTTGCGAGCTGTGCTGATGATTTTCTTGGTGGCGTCTAAGTATCCATTCTCTCCCATGTGCATCATGGTCGCCCAGCAGGCGGCGATGATGCCTCCTGGCCTGGAGCCCGCTATAGAGGGCGAGGCGTAGATTCCCCCCTGCCAGTCTGGAGCCACGAAGTACTGGTAATGACGGTATTTTTTATCGCTGTACAGGATCACTGAGGAACCTTTAGGGGCGTAGCCATACTGGAGGAGAATGTCACACACACACACAGACGTATATACACAATGCAGCATTAAAACAAACAACTACAGAAAATATGGCTGGAATCCCGTAGAGATTGAACATAACTTCAAAGACTGCTGTATTACACATGGTACAATGTCTACAGCCAGGGTTTGTTATAAGATATCATAATCTTTTAAAACCTTGTTCGTTCACTTTAAAACAGGAATAAAGAGTTTACCTTGTGGGTGTCTGCTGAGATGCTGGTAACACCCTTTATTCTGAAGTCGAACGGGGCGAGAGGATAACCAGCCTTGGCCATGAAGACAATGAGGAAACCTCCGAGACACGCGTCCACGTGCAGGGGGAGGTTGTAGCGTAAAGCCAGCTGCAACACAGCAAGGGAAAACGTGAAGAGATGCGATTTCCCTCTTTTCATTTTAGAGCATTCAGAGGGAAAACGTTTCACTTCTGACCTTGGCTACTTCCTCAATGGGATCTATGATTCCATGGGGAAACTGCGGCGCTGAGCACACAAGCATGGCTGTGTTCTTGCTGATGGCTCTCTTCATGGCCTTGAAAGAGAAGGAACAATAAGGGAGGAACTGCTGTCTAAGAATAGCGCGGCATCTGTTTCAATATTGTTTTCTCACCTTCACGTCTACTTTCATTGTTTTATTGTCGAGGGGAATGTGAACGAGCTTCATCCCGAAGTAATGTGCAGCTTTGTTAAAGGCCGCGTGGACGCTCACAGGTGCAATGCTGCAGGGGTTTGATCAAAACAGGAAAATACAATGAGAACTACAGTTGAGAGCAAGCCCAGACACAGGCCCATGACTGATACAGCTCATCTTACATTTCAGGGTATTTGACACCTCGCTCATACGCCATGTCTCTGTACGCCTTGCAGGCCATCAATATGCTCTCAGTTCCCCCTGAAGTGACCTGAACAAAGCAGAAGTAAATATATGTTAAATGAAGTCCACGTTTCTCCATTTAGAGGTAACTGGTTTGTGCATTTTGCCAGTATATAAACGGTGTCTCAATTCAGAGGCTGCATTTCGAAGACTGATAGGCTGTTCCTGAATCAAAGGCTCCAACATGTAGATCCTTCCCGGCCCAACCTATCCCAAGACTCAATGTGCTTCGGTGACCATTTTTTAAAGAGGTAATGGCACCAGCAAGCAATGAGATGAGTGATGCTTAAGTATCACAACTCAACTCAACCGAACAGTTAATGGTACGCGTGTTAAAAAACCAAGGGGCTGTAAAACTTTCTCGTCGTGTCCTATTTCAGCTTTGTTGCTGGCCAACAGCATTCTCTTTAGAGAAGACTGCCTCAGCCTTCACGACCCACTAAGACCGCCTCCTCATGGGCCAGTTAGACCACGTACTCTGAAGGATGCAGCCCCTGAATTGAGACACAGCTTTGCGTGGTGACTCACAGCGCCACAGGAGTCAGGTCCGCCCTGGAAAAGCGTGCAGGCCATTCTAACAACCTCAGCCTCCATCTTTCTAACGCCTGGAAATATGTCTGGGTGAAGTGGATTGCTCCAAGCAAAATCTCCATATACCTTGAAGAAAAGAAAAAAGATGCAGATTTCCATAAACTCCAATTATTAACAGACACAAATGAGGGTGGCAGTAATTTCAGGGTCAAACAGGAGTTGTTTATCACTTATAATTAAAAAGTACAAACTGTAACCAACACCAGTGTTTTCAGATTTGACCCTCAGTAATCAGGCTTCAGAATGTCAAAGTGCAGAGATAAATACAAAAATGCAAACCTTCACCAGGAGTTTGGTCAGGGATGCATCGCCCCAGTAAACTGCCCCCGAAACACATCCTTTCTCCCACGGCACCTCATCTGCAACAACACAGTCTCTTCAGAAATCACTAGGTCTCTTAACACTCAGTAACTGCAAGGAACAAGGAACATTCAAACATGTCTGGAATTTCTGTTTCTGTTTATCAAGAGTTCACTGTAGTTACAGATTGTGAGGACATTGATGTTAGATAGAATTATCTAAAATGAGGTTATGGGTACTTTAGTGGACTGTTGAAAATGGTGTTATTTTCCATTTTGTGTTTGTTTGTTTGTGTTGCTCTACTTTTCTTCCATTTTCCAGGCATGTATGTTTGAAAAGAACATGTGCTTATTTTTGATAAAGTAAGTAATTCATAAGTCATATGAATGGAAGCTGATGAAGAAAATCAATAAAACTTCCATCCATCCATCTATACCGCTTATCAAGAAGCTGGAGCCAATCCCAGCTGAAATAAGTATAGAGATGGGGTACACCCTGGACAGGTCGCCAGCGTTTCACAGGGCCAACATACAGAGACCATCAACCATTCACATTTATATCGACACAAACACAGAAAACCCACACAAACAGAGGGGAAACATCTAAACTCTCCACAGAAAGGATTTGAAGCAGGAACCTTCTTGCAACAGTGCTGCCCCAATAAAAACTTAAATGACGAAACACATCACTGGTTTTCTCAAAAAAGGTCAGATGAGATTGACCTTCTGAACACTGGCATTTAAAAAATCTCCTCCTCCTTCAAATTGGCAGAACAGATGAGAAAAACTCTTCAGGGACTTGACTCTAAAGTTAATGAACCATCAGGCAAAGCTTGGAAAAGAGAGAGGACTTACTCAGAGTCTCGTACTCTCTGATTTTGTCCAGCACTTGGCTCTGAGAGAGGCCTTTAGACGGCAACTGTTTAGTGTAGCTCATCCCGTTCTTCAGAGTGCACAGGCTGGCAGACATGTCGTCCAAAGCCTTGTTCAGCTGACTCTGAATCTGTCACAGAGACAAGAGGGCAGAGTTAGTTTAACTTTAGCAACTGTAAGGTCCCATTTTGTGAGTTTTGAAGTCGTTGTTCCGAAGTGTGTTCACGAAGTGTTTAGAGCATTTCAACATCACATAAAAATGTGCATGTTAATCATAAAAATGTCTGTCTTAAAAGTGGTGTTGGGAGTTTGTGAGAAATGGATGTACAGTTTGCCAAAAGTGAAATTCGACAATTTGACATTGAAAGCAACTATTTAGAGCCGAGTGTAAAATTGTTTTAATTGGTTTATAGGTGATGACATCAGAAACTTGGGAACCCAACTTTGAGTGGCTGTTCTGACTTAGTGGCACATGAATTTTCCCATTCAGGAAAAAAGAACTTCAGATTACTACGACACCACATGAATGCAGCATTCAAGAAACAGTAAAGAACGTGGAAGAAAAGAGGTGCAGTAAGAGTATCTCATAACAAGGTGTCCACCGTGCTATCACTAACACAATGACATTTTTTGATAAAGCCTGAAAGTGAGTTCTTCACTGGTGACATAATGACCAGAAGTAACCGAGTGTTATCACCCGTGTGTGATATAAAGTGTGCCAAAGGTCTCCTCCTGCCTGCTGTAAACACTCATCCCAGAGTGACTCATACAGACGAAGACAGAGTCAGTGCACATCTGCTGGGGGGAAAAGGAGGAACGGAGCCACCACTGATACTCACCGCTCCGCCAACGAAGGGTATTTTTCTGATGAGTCGGAAGCACTGCTTCTTGATTCGCGACATCAGGCCTATCACACAAAAAAAGACAGAAAGCAGCTGTGGTGAAACACACGCAAACACAGATATTAATCAGCTGACTTTGACCCATCATCACAAGTCCAGACAAGGGGAAGTGACTTCAAACATTTTATTCTGCCCTGTCAGACACGCAGCTGGTTCACTCCGCTCTGACCAAACCTCCATTGCTAAGAGCTGAAATACAATGGGTGGAGCCGACCTCATTGCCGAGGAATTCGACTATTGATCGATTGATAGCAGATCGAGAAAGTCTTGTTGATTGAGGGTATTTCTCAGTCACACATACTAGAGGAACAGTGCAGTACCAGAGTGTAATGACTGCAGAGAACGAGGGAAACTTTAACTAAAAGTTTTCATGGAAAAAAACAATTTACCTAAGTGCTCAGACATCAGAAGTTAAACCTGATGTCAACAGTGCAGTGAATGTGACTGCAAATTACAGTATGACTCATGAACATGGTCTCTGCAGCTTGAAGAGATTGTTGTCTCTTCTCCTGCCTGACTCAGAGGGCAGCAGACCCACTCTGTGCCTGTGTATCACCTACTTTCTTGCTGGAACAGGAAGCCTTTGACCCAGACAGCTCCCAGCGTGGTGATGACGGTCACTCCGATGATCTGCCACGGCTCCAGGTCAGCGCAGCGGGAGTTGACGTGCCGCCGGCCCTCCTCCAGGTACAGCAGGACCATCTCCTTGTACACCTCCAAGGCACTCTGAGCAGAGACGCACACGTGTGTCACAGTTACTGAAGGCTGCTCCAAAGGGACTGCCAGAGTTTCCCAGTAAAGTTTGGCATTGAACAATAAAACTAATCATTCAACAAATAGAAAGAAACTATAAATGCAAATACATCTGTCACATGGTTCCTCATGTCATTATGGGGAAGTGCTCATTGTGTGGATGGAAGTTGGACCTTTTTGGACGCCATCATGACCTTTTAAAAATGATGCAACGATTCAATTTCAATGATTTTTTGTGAGAAACCTTTTAGACAGACTCCTGATTTAAGTGTCGTCTTTTCACATGATCCTGTGTGTATGCGAGCAGATGTAAGGACGTTTAATTAAAGTGATGAGAGAGAATGATTCTTTGGTAAAACACCCCAAACCGAACCACAAATCCTGATCGCACTTGACAACCTGTCACAAAGATCCACCTTGTCACTGGTTTGGTACTTACATCAGAAGACATCTTCAGACCTACGGAGCTCAGTTCCCTCCTCACACTACCAGCAGCTCTTCAGACCTTCAGGAGAGCAGACCGTCCTCTCTGTTCTCCAGGTGAGAGTGAGAGCGCGCTCAGCTAAATGCTCGACTTTCACCGGGCTCCTCCCAGCGCTTAAAACCAGACAACAACACGTGCAGCTGAGGGGATGTTTTGCAATCATCAATCATGACCAGACGAGAAAGGAAGTTCGTCTTATAATACACAATAGCTATACTGCACATTCAGGAAGCCTGATCACCAAATACAGGCTGGAATATTTCACAATGATCTGAACGTGGAGGCAGAGATTGTTTCAGCGTGAGTTTGATCTAACTGAGCCTAAATAGAAATGACATACAGATGCTATTTCATAAGCGCAGCTGAATTATCTTTTCATTATCTCTGCACTGTGTGTTTTTACAACACAATAGCAGGCAGTGTGATAGCAGCGGGGCTTGTTTTTTTCCCAACTCAGCCACAATCAGATGGAAGAGAGCTTAAGGTTCAAAAGTCGATATCTTAAGTAATCGCTGTCAGTGCTGCATAACAGTGCAATTATTCTTTTGATTCATTTCTAAATATTGAGATGAGACATGTTGGTGCAAACCAACCTTTTCAGCCTAATCTTTCAAGGCATCATCCAGTTTTTTTGTTGTAAATTAGGTTGTAATGGAGGGCTGGATGTAAAACACATGAGTCCACCTCCCATCTACCCACAACTGAACTGTCATACCAGTGCCTGTGTCTTTGTTTAACGTGTTCTCATACAGGTTTGACAAGATCAGCTGCATAGAGATGAGCGAGAAGCATAGGAACATATGCCATTAACCTGCAGGAGGTGAGGCCTGACCTGAGTTTTCACAGCAGGAATCATTTACAGATAAATGCCTCCATCTTCGATCGCTGCCACGCGTTGGCCATAAAGAAAGGTTAACGTGGAGTTATCTAATGTCAAGTCTGCCCCCTTTGAGTTCCAGGCATCGTTCTGTTATCCCACAGATTTTCCGTGTCAATGCCGTGCCTCCAGGTTCCACCCACACTTGTCCCGGCCTCAGGAAAACTTAAACCCTCTCGACACAAAAGAGTCTCGTACCAGTATTGTCCTGCTCATTGTCCAGCAGTGGACGCCCATTCCTTTGAACCCCCTCGTACAACATTTGGCTATTCTGTAAGGAGAGCTGCTCCACAGAGGAGGTCATGTTCTCATGGAAATATACTGGGTGTGACTGTAAGGTGGCTGCTGCTCCTGTATACATGAGGGAAAACAGAGGGCGGGCACCACATCACCCACGGCAGCTAATAGTCAAAGAGAGCGGTTATTCAGGAGGGAATAATTATCTCCACCAGGGAGGTAATGTTTACGTCTGTTTGTTAGCTTGCAGGTTTACTCGAAAACTACTGAACTGATTTCCATGAAATTTTGTGGATGGGTGGGGAAGAGAAGAACAAAATTACATTGCATCCAGCTAACAATGCAATTTTAAATGCTGTGATTTCCTAAAGTTAAAGTTTAAAAAAAATAGTAAAAATGATAAGGTAAAGAATAAATGGAAAAGTGTGGTACATATACTAACGCTATTGTAATATGTATGAGTCATTGTGACTTGTGATTTAATCGTCTTTCTACTTTCTAAAGTTAAGTGGGCTCGAAGAACTTAAGTTAAATTAAGGTGCCGACCTGGATCAGGTGGCAGATGCAGGACATTTTTTTTACTGTCTAACGTTGCAAGACTTTAAGATTTTCCTTGATTTCTCAAAAAACAAAACATGGATAATGATGAAAACAAACGTTTGTTTTCATGTTAAAGAACTGATATTCATGAGAGGGTAAAAATTGGAGCAGATCCAAATGAAAATCTGGATCTAGTGAATGTGGTTTCATAAGTGGACTGCTCTTAAGGGGCCGTGTTGGTTTATTAGTTAGCAGAATTGCACAACAACTATGGAGCTGATTACCAGGACAGCTGTTAGAAGGATGAGGTGTGGGTCAGGGATAAAATACTGGACTAGATCCAGGACTTTTTTTCCACTTTCTTTAACATTGTGAGACTTTCACAGATTTACCAGAGAATAATTTGTGGAACTAGATGAAAACAAAACTATTTAGGGAACTGATACGTGTGACATTCAGTTCAGCCTGATGGAATCTAAAGCTGCTGTTGGACCATGTGCTCTTCTGAGTGCCATTCTGGTTACAGCTGTGGTGTCTGGAGAAGTTTTCTTGAGCTGCCGGCAGAGTCTCTTTATCAGGACATGAACTGACATTTAGGCCAAAATCAGACAATAACCTCCTTCATTCTCCTCCCTTGTATTCACACATGAGCTCTGCTGGAGTTTCTGCTGAGTTTATACTTTATACTAGGGGGTCAGCCAGAGAAATAGAACGTCTGGAGGCTCTCACTTGGGCAATTTGGTTCACACACATATTGACTCCAGAGAAACTCCTGGGGATCTCCAGAGTTCAGTGGATGTCTGGAAGCAGATCCTGACTCATCCATGACGAAGTCAGACTGAAGATTCATCTCGTGACAACTTCTTGTCTGCATATCAACAAAAGCTGGTCAAAAGATGAGGTAAGGTGGACTATTGAAAAGTGGATAGAGACTGTAGAGGACATTTATTTCAAAAAAACTATTTGACAAAAACTGCACTACAAGAAACCCAGCTGGAAGAAAAGTGGGAGAAATGATATTGTTACTCAAGACTGATGGAATCAGCTGATGAAAACTGAGACAATGGCTGGACTGAAGAAGGTGCAACACCCAGACCACTTGTTTGTTCGTTTACAAAAACAAAGTGGAATAAAAAGTGGATTGTGTGTCTCTGATTTGTATTGAACTTCCTGCTGGTTTGTGTTGAACAGGATCTCTATTTTAAACTGTGTGTGCTGCAATAAACAAAAGGAAGGAGCTGTTCTCGTTTTTGAAACGAAGGTGCACAGAAAATCAACTGATGGCACACGAACCGTGAAGCTCCAGAGAGGCGGCAGCGGCACTTCCCTGTGTTGTTATCGTGTAAAGTGTGGGACTCCGGCGGTCGGTGTGGATGTAGGTGCTGTGTTTCAAAGCTGTGATCCCACGGATCAGTGTGTGTGAGCTGGAAACATCGGACAACACTTCGCTGCCCTGCTGATAAACATGTCCTCTCCTCTCCCCCAGCTCCTCTGTCACCTCCTCCCCGTGAGAACAGACCCTCACTCACCCAGTAATCCATGTCGTCGAGCTGAGCTCCGTCAGAAACGTCTGTTTGTCGTGTTCTCCTCGGTGAAGTCACCTCCTGCAGCCCGGAGCCTCCGGTCCTCTCATGCTGCTAACACACACACATACACACACACACTAATACACGCTAACACACACACACACTAACACACACACAGTGCTAAGCTAACCCGAGCATCCAGGAAGTAGCAGCCAGCGGGCGCTCGCAGCTGCGCGCCCTCTGCGCAGGCGCAGATCTGACAACAACGTGGACGGGGCTGCCGAGGCGGAAGTGAGGTTCCTGATGAGTTGTAGATCTGTTATTTGACCACGCGCGTTTCAACGCTCACAACTGAGCACGTTAGGAAAGAGCTAATGCTGCGTTCACGGGCTTTTCGTAAAGTCAACCATCCCAGCCGTGTCAGAGCAGTTAATAAGAATAATAACCAGATAAGAACGTTTATTTTTACAGTTACAGAATAGTTCATAAGAAACGATTCATGTAAACTGTGCCTTCATGCCGGAATTCACTTTTTCTGTGTGCAAATGTGGTTTAAAGTTCCAGTGTGAGTAGATATTGAATGAATGTTCATATTTGGGTGAACTTTCCCTTTAAAGCACGTCCTCTAAGAATGATTTATGTTATCAGGACTTGATTTAGGTCATAAACATGTGATGCCTGGACATAACACACACGATCAGAATCAGAATTCCTTTATTGTCGCAAGATTGAGAAATTAACAACAGCAAGATAATGAACAAGCATGAAAAAGGAAGAATATAAAGTAAAGATAAGTTAAAACAAGATAAATTACTATGTACAAATTGCACTTAGAGTTCTGATGGACAGCAATGATTCTGTTGTAATATTCTGACCCCCCTCCCCACATCTCCCCCATCACCACATAAGACTGCTACAAAAAGAAAACCCTTTTTCAGCGCTTGGTGCCAACATCATGTTTGAGGCCTGAAAGGTTCGGAGCTAAGAAAGCTAAGAAGGTTTGAGCTAAGAAACACAGACCTGTTTCCATTGTAGTGAAATTGTTCAATTGAAAGTCCAGGAAACAAAACCTTTTGGTGTATCAGTGTTGAGGATACATGGTTTTAACTGGAAATCACACAAATGAATTTAATCTAGAATTAATAAATCGTTTGATTACTAATCTACTTACATATTTTGGCAAGGAGAATGAAATTGTGAAACCAGAATAACAAACTGTCCCACCCCTGTAACTAAGTCCCACAAATGCTCAGAGAAAGAACCAGGATTCTGATTATATTAGTTCATATTAGGTTGTAACCATCATGTTGATGAATTACATGTGTGAGGTTTGTCTGTTTAATGTGTGTAACCAGAGAATACTCTTGACTGTATTAAATAGTCTACTACTGAGTACTAGTGTGAAAAACAACTGAACACGACAGTCGTGTTTCTTTATGTTCTGAGTATTGAAAATGTTGTTGATTCTGTGACTCACTAAAATTTAAGACTGAATTGCATTGTTCACCTTTATTCTACTTAGGGTTTCCTAATTTCCGACCGCACACGAAGGCATCACTCGGTGTTGCTTTTGTAATGTCGTGAAATGTTGATTTCGTTTTAGAAATGAAAACAGCGCCTCAGAGCGGCTGAGAAGCGGCACTGCAAGTGTGACTCCAACAACAAATGACTCTTATTATTTCTACCTGAGAAAGATTCACTTTAATTAAGGGAAATCTGTTTTTCTTCTTTAAATGACTGCGAAAGTTTAACCATAAGAGGCAGAAATATGTTATAGACAAACCAACATAGAAGTTTGTTAAATAATGATAATATTGATGGACCAAAGTTTTTTTAAATAACTGATAGTCAGTCAGCGTTCTCAGATTGTTGAGGATGGTGGATACAACTGTATTTATGATGCTGCTCATGTCTGATCATCTCTAAATGTCCCTGAATAGTTTGTGTGGCATGTTTACAACTTCTCATCACTGAGATTTATATGCATGTTCGAAGAATTAACAAAATCCTAAACCTTATTTGTTCTCTTTTACAATTAGGATAATTACACTTGCTCGTGGCTGTGATTCAGAGGCCATCGCTATTCAGAGAGAGCTGCCTTCCAACACAGCTCATTCTATTGATTTCACAATTTACTCTTTAAATCTAAAAGACCTGTCAGCATCAGTCAGAGAACATCTGGGATAACAGCCTGGAGTATATACATGCACGTTCAGGTAATTAATGAAGCAATTTGATAGACTCCACTATTCAAAGACAAAGTTACTCAAAGTAATTCCAGAAGTTTCACCACTGTGATGCCACACAGTTATGTTTCATGTCTCCACAACTTCTGGATAAAGATATGATATTTATTTTCAAAGATATGGGGGTTGGTGATAGAAACGAACTTATTCATTCTGGAGAATAAGAGTTGGCTGAGGAGACTGCAGACAGCTCAGTGATGCCTGGTATTGTATTGACTTCTTCCTATAGAAACTCATTCTGTTATTCCAGAAAAAAGAGGTGATCACATTAAATCAAAGCGAACTTACAGAAACTTTGCACTTGTAAATAATAATATTTATTCTCAAATACAACCTCTGGGAATGTGATAAGATCTCCGATATTTTAAAGGCTGAAACAACTCACATTAGATTTATAATTTACATGTAATGTTAAATTAACAACCCCTGCTCTGAAAACCTGTCGTGGTATGTTCAGGGTCAACTACCCACATGTTTTAGGATTGTAGGAAACTACAGCACCACTGGAAGGAGGTGCACAACCTAACTGTGGAGGTAATTTAAAGGTGGTTGGACATTGCACCAATACTCTTTGATAGAGGACGGGACAGAACACTAGAGCCTATATCTGTGAAACAGGTTGTTATAATATCATCATGGCAAAGAAACACATGATGCTCGACTGCAACCAGCAAGGACTCCAACATTCAATCTTTCATCTAAACCCTGAGTGAAACAACTTGAGTGGAGTGACCTGGACCCTGGAAACTAAGGGTGGTGTCCTTCTGAGAACATGAACTCCTTATGAACTCCTGACCTCTGACTGCTCAGGTCACTGAACTACATTTTGATTCAAGGGAGAAAACTTGTGTATCACGATCATATTTGTCATCTGGGTTTTTCTCCTCTCATTTTCCTCTATTGTTTTGAGGGATTGTCTGCGTGTTAAAGAAAGTTTCAAATTAATAAAGAAATAATGAATAAAAAAAGACCCTTGAAGTTATTCTTAGCTGGTGTGGGTTGTTTATGTAGACGTCATGTCATCACATTGAAAAATGAAATAAGATAATGCTTATCAGGGACTATTTTTCTCCAGATATAAAAACAGTTGTGTCCAGATCTGCAGGATGTGAACCTCTAAACTGAAAAGTCTCATCACAAAGAAGTTTTTATCAAACATATGTTTTTATGGATGAACATGAGCTTAATGTTGCATTTCATCTCAGATCTTCATCCATTCATAGAAACGGTACATGTGTTCTTTTTTATCCACTAAAAGCTACTAATGAGAGCAAAGTTCATTATTGTAAACAAGCGATCAGAAGAAAGAAAAACATTGTGTCTTAGTTCAGGGGGGTGAAAGGGGGCGACTTGCAGCCATTCGTGCTTCAAATCTTCAATCTTTACAAAAAGACAAACTGTCTCCAGAGGACAGCTATTCCACTGTAATTGGTGTACACTGTGTTCAAAAGCTGAGGTGAGAGCTACAATGCGATGCCCGTGAAAGGAAGCTCCAAAGCACATTAAAAGTGAATTACTTCTTGTTATAAGTGTGCTCGGGGTCATTCTGGTCACGACGCGCGCACCTCTCCAAAAGCGCACACGTCTCCAAAGGCGCACTCCATACTTTCTAAAAGCCAGTCACATTGTTGAGGGGTTTCACAAGAGGTGTACATATGGCATCCGGGTTGCAATTAAATGTTTTAAGATGTTTTTCTTTTCTTGAAGAAGTTTCCTTTTTCTTTTTTCTCTCCTCCCCCGGCAGCTCTTTGCCAGAAGGAACAAGAGGAGGGGGGCGCATTGAAAGGCTGCGCTGCGAGTTTGGGATGACAACAATCTGGTCAGCGAGTTGTTGGACTTTGATTGCCCCCTCAAAACGTCCTTCAAACAAAAAGCTGAAGGCGAAAATAAAGCCCCACCTGGTACTTGTGTTTGCTAAAATAATAATAAATAGATTTCGTTTAATAAATAAGCAAAGGGGACTGTAAAGTGAAGTGGTAGAGGAAGTATTAATCAGGAGAGGCGGGCAGGTATCACCTGCTCTCTGGAGCTTACTCAGTTTATTGTTAAATATTGTTAAATCACTTTTCGTACCAAGTCTGCTCCGATATCTGCGATTTCCACAGCAACTGGGCCGCGTGTGTTTGCCTACACTTTGCATAACAAGCAGGACACTACAGCACGCTGATAAAAAACCAAGGAGAGACACTGGCAACTTCAAACCCACACCTGTCCACGATATCCCAGTATGGATTTGGCATCAATGGTTATTTGTGAAGTGGTCATATTTAGTTTACTTTAGAATTCTCCTGCCTTTTATAACAGCGAGGCACCATCTCCTATCTCACTGGTGTATTTGTCCAGTTTATTGAAAGCATATGGTTATCAGATTGTTCCCAAAACACATATTTAGACAGAAAGTTAAGGAGAGCTTTTTGTGATCCTTTGTTGGCAAATGTAAACCATGTTCGAGCCCTGTGTCACTCCCCCTCTTCCCCTCACCACAGCTCACACGTGTCTGCATGTTGCTGAAAGATTTTTATTATTCTTTAACCTCCTAACTAAAGTTAAATGATTCAATTGTTGTGCGCAACTGAGTTGTGCCAATTATGGACATGTTTTTGGGCATGTCGTGACGCACAGATGTAGGCTCACATTAACGGAGAAATCGAGCTTTAATTGTTGTCACACACAACGAGACCCTTTGTACTATCAGTCCACACAACGTGTTTCACGCTGTCAAATCCCCTTTGTTGTGTGGCCCCATGCGTAATAGCCTTGGTCCAAATAGCGCAGCTTTGCGCCCTAACGCAGCGAGCAAACATTTGTCCAAATACACGTGGCATTAAAAACGAACTTTTTGTTTGATATAAATTGGATTTTATTCCCTAAAACAGACACGAGACTTTCTTTCTGCAACTCTAAAATATGAAACTGCTACAAAAGTTTAAATTTCTTTAATGCCAAACCAGCAACAATATGCGCACAGTCAAAATACGCCACTGCAAACCTAAATGTAAAACTATTTGATTATAAATGTAGAAATACTGGTATTTACGCATTGTTTCGCTGATGTTTTGCACTTGGACGTGATTTCAGGAGTCAGTCCTCTTAATTGCCATAATCCCTGTGTGCCATGCACGACATGTGCCAATATTCTGAGTGCGTAAAATGTGCCAATTACCCATCAACGATAGAGATCTGATAACATCTGCGAATGCAAACTACCACCTTTTGCTTAAAAATATTTTTATATAAAAAAATGATAATATTTTGCTTTATGACACAACAGAGACTCAGACTCTTCAGCTTCCAGTGGAGCTGGAGCAGCATCATCTACAATCTGTTTGAATGAATCATTTCTATATGAATAAAGAACTTGTTTTGTTTCTCTACAGGAGTACAGGAGTGACGTATTCTTAGTATTGGCTCCTGAGCTTTTTACAAGGTGAGTGGGAATAGTCCTGAAAATAACTGAATAAAATCCTCCTGCTGCCTGATTTTAAAATATTGCTTTCAATATCTTACAACACAGGCTTCACATTTCTGGAGATTTTTGTTTGACATTAAATTCCTACAGGAAAAATAGAAATATAAATTAAAAAATCATATTAATAATCTATGGAGCTAAATGTATTTCAATGAAAATGAAGGAACACACAAAGACATATAGTGAGCAGAGAGGGAGAGAGAGGAGGAGAGGGCGCAGGACGCGCACCCTGGAAGCTGATTGGCCACTTGACAGGCGCTGTTGATTCAGGACTCCGCCGGCAGAGAGATAAGATAAAGGCCATATAAAGTGACAGGGATGCGCATCCATCCCTCACTGTCAGCTGCCTCCAGCGACAGGAGAGGATTAACAAGGACGACTGGCTGCCTCTGTATCCAGGCTTCACCTGTCTGAGCACACAAGTAAGTGCAAACACTAGATCCAGCTTCAGATTGATTTTTTTTCGTCTATTTGAACTTTTCCAGCTGGATTTTCGAGATGATAGTGCAGTTCCAGGTTTACTCTGCCCCCCTCTGTCTCTCATCACTTACAGAGATGAAAACTTCCACTGGAAATTAATGAAATCCTCTCAGCACACGTGGCAGATTTGTTAACACGTCAGAGGCTTGAGGAGAAAATGTGGAAATATGTTTTGTTTGACTATGAAGCTTAAATAACGAAAGGCACAGAGCTTTAACATTAAAAACGTTGTTTTTATTGCAGACGTTTGTCAAACTGCTAAATCAAGCTTTTCTATCTGTGGTTTTGAACTGCAGCTTTAATGCGGCCTCATTTGATATTTCATCTAATATACTGCTGCTCATCTTGACCAGGATAGATATTCTATCTCACTGGGACATTCAATAATAAAATGAACAATCTTTTTTTAATTGTGCAGAATGTCTCCTACTGTTCGGTGCGCACCCGGTGATATACGCACATCCAGAGAATCAGAGGCGCGCAGCAGGTCTTCTCCGGCTCTCCGCAGCCCCGCAGAAGAAGCTGGTGACGCCGCAGAAGCCTCTTTTCTTCAGAAACTACCGTCGGTCTTCGGAGGAGCAGCGTCCTCGAAACACCCGCAGCTCAGGATCAGACGGTGTGGACAGCGGGGCAGGCGCAGGGTGAAGGCCAACGACAGGGAGCGTCACCGCATGCACAACCTCAACTCGGCTCTGGACGCGCTGAGGGGCATCTTACCGGCGCTGCCCGACGACGCCAAGCTGACCAAGATCGAGACTCTGCGGTTTGCGCACAACTACATCTGGGCCCTGACTGAGACCCTGCGCATGGCGGACCAGCACGGACACACGGCGGATTACCTGCCGGTGGTGTCGGAGCTCCGGAGCCCGTCCAGCATCCTGTCCTCAGACTCTGGTTACACGGGCTTGGATGAGTTTGACCCAAGCTCTCACACATCAGTCAATGAGATGAACTGTGGAATCTTTGCAAGACGAGAAAACGTTTATTTCACTTCAGTATGTGGGGGAAATTATCTGAGAAACACTTTGCACTATTGATACTTTATAATTCCTTGTAGGGATCAGTAACTGGATAAAACATGAGTGACATATGGACAGTGGCTCTCTTCTCCATTTGTCCAGAAACCAACCATTCAAACCAGCATGTCTCCATCTACAGGTGCTTTATTATTTGAATCAACTTCACAATCAGAGTCTGTTCAGTTATTGTAAAAACAGATTTTCCACACTCAGCTGTAACTGTGCCCTGAGCCTGCTCCGGGATGGAAAGTGTTTAAATGACCATGTTGCCCTCTTCTTAAACTTGTTATCACGAAAAGACCATTTTCACAATCAGTGATGTAGGAAGACAAGAGAAGTGGTTGAAGCTAAAAATATTTATTTGGCAATGATAATCCTGATGTATGTTTCAGATATTTTTCTGCATAAAAGTGGTTTTATTTATTTAATAAAAGTGTAGAAAAAGTCTCTTGGGGTGAAAAATAATTTGATCTTTCATTGTTTCTATGGTTGAAAAGAACGTGTACAAAGACAAACATGTCCACAACACTGCGACTCATTCCAATAGAATGTTTTAGGGAGCGAGAAATGAGATTTTTTCATTGTATTCATTATTGTTTCTTTTGTAGAAGCCAAAGTTAATGTGCAAATCAACATTTTCAAACATGTAGATTCTGACTGTCCTGCCCACCAGTGACTGTACTGTAGCAGAATGCGAGAGAAGACAGTTTTACGTCTGAGAGGAGTAGCGTGAGCTAAATACTGGAATGTCTTCGATTATGTTGTGTGTCCTACAGTGGTGTGCAGTCTGAGGCCGAGTTCAGCGAGCGCTCTACTTGGGGAACACTGTGACCACGTCGTAGCCCTCAGGCGGAGTCACTCGCTCCCGTGCATGCATCTCACAATAAATCTGGTCCTCCACAAAGAAATGTCCCTTCTGTTTTAGGTTGATGTTGCAGTCTGTGCAGGTGTAGCACTCGGGGTGACGGAACTTGTCCCTCAGCTTCACCACCAACCCCCTGAAACATAGATATAAACATCATGTTAAATACACACATTTCAGAAGTAGATATAAACATCATGTTAAATTCGGTAAACACACACATTTCTGTTTGTCATAGGTGCACTGTTGAAAGGTTAGGAGCTGTACTCCATGGCTAAATCTACTTGAGCACCTCAGCATTACACTTATGATGGATTGTTGAACATGTCTTTTTAAAAGCTGGGACATGAACATGTTGCAACAACATGTTCACTCCTCTGAAAGATTGATGAACCTGACTGCAGAGATTTGTTCTCGTTCAACCATAACTTCTTTACAAGAAAAGATGAGTCAGCTCAGTGTCTTCTGATCTCCTCTAAGCTTCTTAAGAAGTTACTGAAATTTACTTAGAAAACTCTACTTCAGATTCATGACATGTTCCTGGATTGCACAATCGGTCACATCTGTGTTCTGATATTGATGAAGGCCATTTCTTTGTAAATTGAAAGTGTTTACTAGTGTTTCCTAATAAGCATAGGTCACCACCCCTTCCCAGTGCTGTGTGCACACCATACAGTCTATGCTGCACACTGAAATCCCAGAAACTGAAACGAACATTTAAGAAGCCAGGAATGATTCAAAGAAAATCTAAAGACAGTGCTGCAGTACCTGTAAAAAATGTGTTATATTTTGTAGTGTCAGCAGTGGACATTAAATACCACAAAAATAAAACGATACCTGGAATTCAGTATAGTTTTTTAACTCGACGGCACACGAGCAAAGTGATTCATTACACTGTTTGTTACGAAAACATGTATGTCAAAATGAAAGTGTATGGAATCTAAAGAGGAAAAGTCCACTCAAATAAAAAATGGAGTTGGTGAAAATAAAGACAACAACAGAAAAACCGCTGTGGGTTGAGGATCTTTTAGTGGTTGTTACAATATTCAGCCACAGGGAGGAGACAAACTCCACAAACAACAACCCTCTGGGGCCCTTTGTGTTGCATCACAACATTTTAGTGACAATGTTTTCCGAAAACACAAAGCAAGATAAACAACCTAATCAAAAATAACTAAATCTAATGAAGGAAGAAGTGAACACAGATCTGGATCCTGATGGAGCCATAAATGACTCATCTTGTTCCTTCATACAGCAAATAAAACACACCAACAGTAAAACAGTACTGAGGAATCATAAAATACTTACACAATCCCGGATCCACATTTGTCACAGACGGGCAACTTCTCTGTGTTCCCCAAGGACGAGCCGATCTTCGTCCTCGGTGCTTTCACACTCCTGAACCCTGATGGTTTATCAGAGTCACCTACAAACATCACACAGGTTGAAAATCTGTCTTGTGTTTACGATAAACCGTCTCTTTCACTCGTACTTTGTCATTTTAAGCAAGAAATCTGTTCTCTGATTTAAAGTGACAGTTTATGGAAGCTGTAAATAATACACAGGAGTGGTACCTGTCTCGAGAATCTCCTGAAGCACCATGAATGAAGCGGACTGCCGAGGAGGTTCATCAGACTCTTGGTTCTCCTGTAGCATCTTGTAGACCTCTGAATCTGCTGCCACAGGCGGCCTAGTGCTCGTCTTTGACGGTTCTGAAGGAGCTCTGCAGAACAAGTGAGCTCATTTCAGTATGTCTGTAGGTTCCCAGGACGCACAAACGTGAAGACATTCTAAAGAGATGGAAGACTTGACATCTCGTTTTGTCATGATGATGAAAAAACCTGAGCAAAGCTGTGACAAAATACCGTTTCGTTTTTCCTAATCTCATGACACACTTTATTATTGTGTTGTCTTCTCCTGGTCTTACAGGCTGCATTCATTTCATTTGACTGCAGCTGAGTGGACTCTTGAATACCTCTTCATCCTCGGCCATCATATCCACTTTACTGATGATTTGTAAAGCCTTGTTATAAATCACCTAGCCATTTGAAAGCTAGCCAAATTCTTATAAACTCCATTTTTGCTTAGTTATCTAATAAATAAATCCACTACAATGAACTTATTCCGGTATTTAGGAGCCAACCTTTTTCAAAAATGAATTTCTTTGCTAAGACGGTTATGTTTTTGTTCAGTTTGTCTGATAGTTAGCAGATTTACGCAAAAACTACTGGATGGAGTAACATGACACTTAGTGGAATGATGTGGTATGAGTCAGAGAAGAACTCAAAGATAGTGAAGATTGATATTGGTGCAGATCCAAATAAAAATCTGAATCTTCATAAGTGGACTGTTGGGCCTTGGCAGAGGTATGTGAGTGCTATTCTGGTTGATCTTATTTATTCTTTCATTGATTTTACTGTTGTGTTATGTGATTGTTCTAATGTATGTGCATCACAGGATGAATTCCCCCTACTGGAACAGTAAAGTAGTAAACTGAGATATATAACTAGGTACCAATACATCTGATTCAAAATAGCAAACTCAATATCGATTTATAAATATATAAATCATGGAAATATAAACTGGAGATGCATCAGGAATAATTCTGACACTAAGTTGTACCTTGAGACAATAGCCTGCAAAGACATTCAGTCTAGACTGATATGCTTCAACCAAATCAAAGACCTTTACAACCTTGTCAAATATTCACTTTGGGGTCTGTCTTGCCTTAATCTCCACCATGTCTTCACTTGGACTGGACTTGTGTGATGTAATTTCAGGTTTTTCTTACTTGTCGTCAGGCTTTTTGGACTCAGTGGGCTCAGTGGCTGTAGTCATGGTCTTCACTTCATCCACAGCAGAGTTGAAGTTCTCGATGTTCTCTGAGGAGTAAAGCCCAGACGGGCTGTTGTACTGGTTGGTGACAACTTTAGAGCCAAAACCAGCGAACGGCAGCGCACTCCTGTTGTGGGTTGCGCCTATGTGTTTCACCTCCTGTCCAAATGAAAATATAAAAATGTTCTGTTGAAGCTTCTTGTGAGTATTAAGTAAAAAAGTGTTGAGTATCAGTGCGGTATTTGATATTCATGAAATAACTGAACCATGCATCACACACGCAGAGCAAACTTGAAGTGATGTTGTTTTAACTTTTGACACTTCAGATGAGCTCTGGATCTTACACATGTACCAACATGCAGTCTACGAATATCACTGAACATTTGTAAACACGCAACCATCACTTGTTTCAGCAGAAAACTCAACAATGGTGAAACTTTGGAAATATTCAACTGAAGATGTCAAACCAGTTTTATTTTCTTCTCAGACTGCTGCTCCTAATTTCACACAAAGTCCTGCATCATTAATCTGGATAATATATGACGACAGGCTTTAATTGTAGCTAACCAGTTAATGGTCTTTTAAAGACAAACACGTCACGACACTGGTATGCCACCAAAGTGGGCACATAAATACCAACAAATCTAGCTCATGCTTCACAGTGGAAACATGGAAAATCTCCAAATATAGCTCATGCTTCAAGTGTCTGACATCTAAATTACAGAATACCCCAGAGTCTCTTCAAGCAAGTGAACACAGAAGAAGAAACAATACAGTGGTTTAAAAATGTCAAAAAAAAGTGGCATCAAAGTGACAGACTCCATCCAAGCACTTGAAACATGTGTTATTGTGTGTATGCGAGAAAAATATGCAATCTGTGACTTGTGAAACACACACACTAGGCGACGTCACAACGTTTCCTACATGAATTCATGCTTGACCTCAACTTTCCACTCAGCAGGCAGGAACTGAGGCTTGCGTCAGACCTTGGCTGATAAACTACCATCTCCTAGGAAACCTCCTGTTGGGAAGTAAACAATGACTTCATCATTGGCATTGTAAAAAAAAAAAACCCAGAAGGCATTGCGGGCGTGGTGGGAAAGGAATGTGCAGTCTTCCAGAAACTATATGTCTACCTGTAAAAGTGAATGGTTCCAGTTTTAATCTAAATGACAGAGTTGGGGGAGTCATTTTAAAAGCTCTACATCCAGGTTTAATGTTGATACCCACCCGCTGCTCTGAGGCAAGATTCATCTTGTATGGATGCGCCTTCCCCTCCTCGGATGAAAGTGGCGACCACAGTTTAGTTTCTGACCTGAGGAACACAGGAAGAAGAACAAGACTTGAAAGATGCTATAATTGTGTTAAGTTTGAATGTAACTTGCTGGAATTATTTTCTACTTGTGGGTTATTTCCTTTGTTGCTGCAAATGAACATGATGATGCATTTGTGTCTTTGAATCCAACATCTCTTTTACCTTTGCTTGGCTTCCTCATCCAAAAGATTCTTTCTTAATACTTCCTCTTCTACAACCTGCCTGTCATATCCATTTTTAGAACTTCTCTGCTGCTTGATCGGCCACCACTAAGATGTGATGTAATGCTGACCTGACACAGCAGTTCAGCAGAGCTTACCACACACAGGCTTCTCATACTCACCATTTAAGTTTAACAAAAGGCAGACTCGCCCTTGCAAGAGCATGAATAAACATCACGCCACTCTCTTTGAACACCCTGATTGTGGCTGAGCTGTCTCATATTACTCAGGTTTTTCAGGCCCACGGCTATGCTCACCACACTAGTGCATGTTGCTACATCCTACCTGTCTATGGAGAGCACCATTTCCTCTATGCACCCCTTGATCTTGTTCTGAGCCTCCAAGTGAGTCATGCTCTCCGTGTGCTCGCCATCGATAGCCAAGATGATGTCTCCGATAGACAGGTTGGCCTGTGCTGCTTTACTCCCAGGGGTGACCTACAACACAGGAGACAGGGTTAATACTAAATCACCAAATGGGTGCTGCATGTGAACTTAAGGTAATGTTTTGTTTTGTTTTCTTAGATTGAACTTCTGAGACACATTCAGAGGCAAAGTTATTCATCAGCATTTCTAGCAGGGTTCAGCAAAAATGACCAAACTAATATTTATGAAATGTTGTGGGGGGTGGAGCATGAACTGAGGGAGCTCTTTCAACTGACTCATTCAATTTTAGAGCCGATCCGGGAATTGTTCTTTCTTTCTTTAACTTGTGAAATGGAGCTATATTTTTCACACACTTCCCATAGAATAATTGAAGAACAGGGATATTCAGGGAACGGATTTCTATGAGTGTATTTGAATTTGGCTATTTGGCCTTAGCAGTGGAGTATACTCTAGTGAGTGCCATTCTAGTTATATATGTTTTCATACTCTTTTGAAATAGAATAAATACAATAGAACTTGTTTTTGGCTCACCAATCAAGAAGCAACTACATGAGAGCAGAAAAACAAACAAGCAAAAATGACAAGAGTGATAACATAAAACAACATAGAATCAATGACAGGCAATTAGTAAAATTGACATGTACACACAGGGCTGTATTGCACATAAAGAGTCTTTCTGTGGACTGGATGTCACTTTGTGGAGTTAGGAATTCTTATGGCACTTGGAATAAAGGACGTTTTAAACACACTCCGAGTTGCCAGAGGGAATCCGGTGCTCAAAGCTGAAACTGGCTGAAGAGAGGATGGGATTTTATCTGCCAGGATACTCCTTGCTTTCTCATATATACACGTTAATTTCATTCATCAATCAAAAAACTACTTAAATACAAACACAAAATCTCAAATCTCGAATGAAAAGGAGCAGAAAGAAGAATAATCTTATATAATCTGCCCCTCTAATTAACAAGGCAAATGATAAACCTTCTTCCTTGTCCTTGCAGTCAGGAGTTGGGTCAAAGGCTTCAAGGATGTGCTTACCATTTAGTTCTGACAGATAAACACCAGGGGAGCATTAAATAACTCACAGAGTTAAGTTTTTAAAGACAAGAGACGCAATTCTGAATTTGAGTCATATTCAGCCCATTTCCACACGTTCTTTCTTGAAGCTTCTCGTCTAACCAGAACCCACCGCTGCCCCAACCTGACTCCTGAGACTCCTGTGTTTACAGTCAACACGGTGGCAGAGGTGTGTTCAGCCTGTGTCTCAGAGAGCAGCCTCTCTGTCGAAGACGAGCAGAGATAAGACCCTGGAAAAGTCCTGGAATTCCTCATGGCTTTGGGTGGAGTGACCCAGCCACTATAACAACAGCAGCCTCCCCTTCAGTGTAAAGAGGCTGCACACAGGACTGTCACTGTGTAAGAGCTGTGGGTAAGACCTGTGGGTAAGACCTGCAGTGATGCTGGAGTGAAGCGACAGAATGAAGAACACAGGAGGCACAGGAGTTTAACAACACAAAGGATGTCAAAATAAAGGGCGTGCTTTTAATCTGAAGTTATGACTCAGAGTGCATGTAAAAGTGCAGCCATGACATAATCAGACTATTGTTTAACGCTAAAAGCTAATAAAACACAATTCACCAACATGAACTCACGTAGTTCATTACCTGGTCTCGTGTAATGTAATGTAAAGGAGGTTCACACAGAAGGTTACACTGGGCAGGTCATTAACGCCAGTAATTAGATGCCGAGGGTACAGCAGCTAACGTTAGCTCCATTAGAATGACACCAGGTTAGCTCCACCGTGCAGTAACGGCGGCTCTTAACTTAAGCTAACTGCTGCTCCCAGTGAACCCGGCAGAGGAGAAAGTTTGCTCGGGACCAGGAGCCTCAGGTGTGGGCACACTTCAACAAAGCAGCAGCTAACGAACAGTGGGACCCACTTACCCGGGAAATGGCCAGCGGCTGCTCGAAGTCCTTTCCCCCGACCAGCCTGAACCCCCAGGGCCCGGGACCCTGCATCACCACCCGGACAGGCATCACTCTGACTCTGGCTCGTGTCTGTAGTTAAAGCGGAGCTGACTGAGGTGAGCCGGAGCTTCTAACAGCTGTCTGACTCCAGCGGTGCTCCACGGGCTGTGAACGACATGTGCAGCGGTGTGTGTGTGTGTGTGTGTATGAACCCGGGCTGGAGCTCCAGAGGAGGGAGGACCCACAGGTTCGAGTCCGACACGCTTTAAAACTTCCTCAGTGATAACACAGAGAGAGCACAGATCGTGTTCTGTGAGGATGCATCACTCCACAGTGTTTGTGTGCGAGGGGGAAGTGAGAAGGGAAGTGAGAGCACGGGTCACGTGACCACCTCCGTACAGGTAAGAAGGTAGAAATGTTCTAAACTAAAAACTAAACTAAACTATTTGTATTGTTAACAAATCCCACGAAAAAACAAACAGCAACACTAAACAGATCTTATTCTCTAATATACCTTATTCATCTGCACCCAACAGCTCTACAAGAGTTTTTTCATAGTTTAAAAGTTAATCGTGTTTTTACTCCTCTCTCATCTGTAACATGTGTAGTCATGTATATTGTGATCAGTGTTTTCTATCGTTTGACTTCAATTCTTCATTTTTAATCGTAAAGCAACCTGTAACTGTGTTAACAAAGATTGGCTATAAAAAGTGTATTATTATAATTACTATTATCATTTAGCTACATCATTGCACGATCACATGTTATAGCAACATTTTAAACATGGTCACTGTAAATATATATTAGTACACGAAATGTGTATTCATCTGCAGATATACCTGAAAATAGCGCCCCTCCAAAAGAACATAATATATATAAACGTACAAAAATAGACAAGTGTATTTTTTAAACCTATATATATTCTTTCTCCTGTGTGAGTAATGTATGATAAAAAATAACAGTTATCTGCTGTTTAACAAAGTAAATCATCTATAACTTGCGTGTGCTGATTTTAAAGGGCAGGGGGTAGGGCTGAAGGCCGCAGACCAGATAGGATCCTCGTAAAGTATTAAGAGACAGATTTATTACTTTGATAGTTTTTTTATTTTTATGGAAAAGTATGGAGCCAGACTTTAACCTTTAAATTGAGAGTACAATTTCTGAAAAGTCACTTTCACAAACATCTTTACCCCATATGTTATCACCCATTCGTTTCATATCAGGACACATGCTTGTCATTACTTATTTGAAATACAACTCCAATCTCATTATCGTAAGATTGTTGACAGTCATTTCAAACTGCATGAACATGTTAATTTTGGCTGTGATATAAATCTGGTTAAAATCAAGGAACAGAAAGTCTTGTGGCTCAGGTTGAATGAGAAAGAAAAAACATGTGCATAGTTTGTTTTTGTGTAAATCACAAATGGATTCACATTGACAGATCATGTCATTTAAAATAGATGCACTACCCCTTGTAAAAAGTAATTTTAACTTTGTGTGAGGTGTAAAGTTGAATACAGTTTTACTTTTACGAGGTAAAATACTACAGGGACTGAGGGGTTTGGGAGGTGGGTGCAGCTGACTCGTATCAATCTTCCCATGTGACGAGAATCCTCTGAAAGCAGAGCAGAGTGATCCCTCTTCGTTTTTCTGCTGCTCTCAGATGAGCTGCACTGTTTGTTTTAGGGATGTCGGCCTGGCTACGTCACCGTGTTATATGCGAGCTTACCATTTATGGTAGAGCTAAATCCCAGGATGTGGAATGTGCCGCTCCCAGACCTTGAATTCCTGCCAGAGGATCTCTGCTCAAAGTACAGGGGGAGAGAGAGAAAGCTCCGGGCAGCCAGACTCAACGAGACACGTCCTTTCTTGTGTGGGTTTACATGCAACTTCCAACATGAGGCCCTCACACACAGACACGCCAGTGAAGAAGTCCTTGAAATAGTTTGTTTTACACTGAGGCCTTTGTGATGTGTTTTAAAGTGTCTGCTCCAGACTGTGAAAACATTTCTGTCAACATCATCACCCTAATGGGATTCTACCTCTAACCATCTGTTACACATGTGAAGCTCAGAGCAGCCAGAATACAAGGAAGTGAACGCTGCTATCAGAAATCAGCACACACAGCACACCCACTGGTTTAAATGGTTTATTAAATATTGCATAATACCGAAGTCACAGCAGTGTAATAGGATCTTTATTTTAATATTGTCAATGTAACAGCACTGCAAATTGAAGCAAACAAACCAAACCTGTTGCAGGTTGTGCGTCTCATTAAACTAGAATCCATTCTTATGATTATTAACCATTACGTTGAAGCATGGTGTCACACCTCTGGGTACTTGCACAGTTACCGACAAGTTCTTAGTAAATGTGCTCCTGTCGCAGAGAGCAGGACTAATGGGAAACACCATGGTTACATTAAATATGTCATGGATACATTTCAGTGATTCTCCCAAGAAAAACAAAAACAAACCTTAAATGAAAATGAGGCACAATTTTGCATCTAAACATATAAGGCATTATGATGCTCACAAATGGCAGCGTAATGTTTGTATGAGTCAAAGCTCCTGTGCTCAGTGATGCTCCACTCTGTGCTTTGCCAGAAACCCTTCAGGTAAATAAACCACCGCAAGTAAACCGAGAGATCACTCCCGTCGCTCGCAGTCTATTTTCTTTATCTTACATATTTACAGTCCTTCTTGTGCCGCGCTGCTCAACAGTCTGTGTTGTGTTCATTCAAGATGAATAATTTTTTACAGATGTGAACACAGTCAACGCCACATTCATATAATCATACATTCATACATCCTGTGATGTGTTTTATGTATCACAGAGACAATCTATAGGGAGTTGTGACCACGAGTGAAAAAAAAAAAACTTTTAGCCAGCAGATGCTTCTGTGTCGTAACAAAATACCTGAACATCAGTGCTGTACAAGCAAACCCACAATGCAGTGAGTCACACTATGTGTTTTATCTTGTTGAGACAATATCCCCTCTGCTGTTCTTGGCAGAGTTGTCAGTGGTGATCTGCACAGGAAGACACGCCTGTTTTGTCTCAACTGGGAGGACGAAACATCGATCGCTACTGAATTTAGTTCAATGAATCTACTTCATCAGTTATTAGAACTTCACTTAACACGTTAGTCACATACAGCTACAGACCATGTTCAGGTCAGGGTCACTGCAGAACTGTTTGCACATTCAGATGCAAAAAAACTAAGTTATAGTAAATGGGATCTAGTGAGCGTCTTATCTTTCTATACTTCACATTGTGTTTCAGATTGTGTGCGCACAGGCAGTAACACAGAGTTTGACTAAAACTGATCGTCTGGCACCATTTGATTAGAAATGTGTGGACTAAGAAAAGGATCCGATTGTAGCTTGTTTCTACTGGCATCAACTAAACTGACTTTAAAATGCTTTTTTTGGGAACAATTGCTCTACAAGCTGCACCCATCTGCAGCTCAGAGCAGGTCCCGACAAGCACTGAGAGTTATTGGGGAGTATTTTTCTGCGAAGGATTGATGAGCACGTCGCAGCTGATGACAACAAGGAATTCAGTGAAAACACGAGCAGAGTAAAACAGTACCCGTGCATGCAGAGGGCGTATTATCCTCACTGTGTGTGTGTGTTAGAGGATGTGGTGGTGTGGGAGCTCTGTTCTCTGCAGGAGGATGTCTCTGATGCTCTGATAGCAGAATTCCATCCAGTCTCTTCCATCAGGGAGCTACTGAAGCTCAAAGACTTCACCCTGTCTGTTTTCTTTAAGCTGAATGCAAATACAGAGGCGTTAGCTGATAATGTTTCATGCACTGGACTTGTCAATCTCTTATTGATTTTACAGTGCATGCTGTCCTAATGCTAACCTTATTATTTGAATCATTCCATTAACTGTAATACCCAACCTGTAGTCATGACATATGAAAATATCTAGCCACATTAGGAAGGCCTCTTAAACTTCTCTGTACACATTTACATGGGTAAAACATACAAACTTGTCAGTAAGGGCATTGTTAGAATCTTTAAAACGCATTCAAAAATCAATAAGATTATTATACGACACCTCGCTGGCTTTCATTGTCATTAAACAGCTGTTTCTGTCGTCTATTATCTTGTTATAGGTGGGCTCTGCCTAAACGAACAGGAAGTTAAGTGCTACCACGCCTCTGCTGTGGAGCCAGGTGTCACCCAGCAGCTACCTTACAGGCGTCAGCTATCAGCAAACGCACCCTACTTTAAAAAAAATAAAAAGACAAATAAATAGTTCATAGGATATGCATAGACGCAGCTTCTCTTCACTGCTACGTGACATGCGGCACAACACTGGGGTTCTGTGTTTGTGTTTGATGTGGGAACAGAGAAAAAGAGAAGCACGCTTGTCATGCACATGACTTGACTCTCAGGCAATACTGAACTGGTACCTAAAGATTTTTCAGGTATACTGAGTCGTGAATGCTGCATTGTTCTTGAAAGAGAGCCAATATTGACTTTATGGTGATTCAGAACATGTAAAGGAAAGCAGAACAGATATGTCAGGCCAGTTTCTAACAGGATTTGAGTATTTATACTCAAGAGGATACTGCACTGACAGTTTTCTTACATAATCGAGTCGAAGAGTGAAGCATCACATTAAAACTCCACACACATACAATAAGTTGATCCAAACACTGAGGGTTTTCTTCTAGAAGTTAAATCAAATTTTTTTCCTCAACTAATCACACCTGTCCTGAAAGGTAGCTCATGAAGAACAGTTCTGACCCCACAACACACAAAAATACATTTTGACTCCTCCAAGGTCCAGTTCAGGTAATAAGATCCTCTCCTTGATCCATAAACTCTGCTCTGCTGCTGCCTGCCTCCACACTGAGGTGCTACGTAAACACGTGTACTGTAAAGTTACAAGGACAAAATATAAGCAATTATCTGTACAATAAAAGCTAGTTAGCGGAGGTCTTTGTTCCACATGTGGCGATGGACGTTTTCTGTCGGGAAGTGCGTAAAATGGAGGACAGGGTGTACAACAAACTGAGGTCTGGGCAGTGAGCCGTCTCCGTCTTCGCCTCGTGCAGTATTGACATACCTCAGGCCGAACCGATCACTTCCCCCACAGACAAAACAGATTTGGCTGGCTAAGTGACTATTCTAACCAACAGCCATGCGTGATAGTAATGACTTCCCAAGCTCGACAGGCAACCGTGTTTTACAGCCTGATTAGATATCGTTACACTTTCACCTCCTTCACGTAATTCCCAGGGAAAGTCCCAAACTGTTTTGTCCTCTTTGAGGTACCTGTGGAGAAAGAGGAGGAGA